TAATTTTAGCCGTGATATCACAGCGGACACAGAACATCCTGTGCGACATGTGTGTGAAATGTGTGTGAAATGTGCGAGTGGCTCTGTGGCTCTTTCTGCTTCTGCTGCACATTTCACCAAACTGTGGTTGCTTTCACCACTAATATGCTCTGGACTGGTGACAAATCACTCACCACAAAACTTGCCTAGGTTCTTCTAATTCTAATTGAATATTGTTGGAGCTTCGACATAATTTACTTGATGACTTTGACTGAACCAAGTCCCAAATGAAATCAACTGGCTTGTGTCAGGGAGGGCATCTGGTTCATAGCCCTTAAAGGGCCTATATTACACAAAACTGACTCATGTGTGCTTTTAACCATGCTATAATGGTGTTACTTTGTCAAAAATATACTCAGAGTTTTGTGTTGTTTGTTCACACTTGTTTGAGTAATCCTGCATTATGCCTGCATCCCCAGTTTCACTTTTTGATTTTATTTAGTGGTAGATTTCAAATGAACAGCTATCAACTGAACTGCTTTAGTCTTCAGTACTCTAGAATAAACTTAAGCTGTTGCTTTTATTTTTGAGTATTTATATTTAACCTTTTGTACAAATCATTTATTAATATCTGCTGATGCAGTGACAGTTTCAGTTAAGTCTGAAATGCTCAAAAGTTTAAAACACAGTGGAGCTTCTTGTATTACTACGTAACATCACAAGGTGGAACAGAATGTTTTCTGTTTGAGAGAAGAGCTAGAGTTTGTGTTTAAGGTGTGAATAAAACAAAACACAACTCCAGGTATGTTTGTGATGAGGAAATGACAATGTACAATATATGTGCTTTATTGGCTTCTTATTGACACATGACTCTTATATGGTTTGTGTTATCTTCTCCAGGTGATGAGTTACAGTGGGTGTGATAGTTTCATTATGAGGTGCACACAGTCAGTTTGTCATTTGTTTTGTGGACTCAGAGCTGCTGCTGATTATTGATACACTGTTGATTGTCCCTGTGTTGACATGACTAACTCCTTAAACTGTGTCTGACTACAGGGCATATTTCACTTTTGTTAATGTGAAAAAGTAGAAGATTGTTAAATGTTTCACAGTTTGCACTTAAATAAAAATGGAAAATAAAATTTGTGTCTGGGACTGAACCCTGTCCTGTAGACTAAACTAAAGCAGTTCAAAGTAGGCTTGTCAAAAGTATTGAAAATAAGATACTAATTGATATTTAAACTAGTAATGAAACTAGACACTCATTTGAGGAAGTAATAATACTAAAAAGTCCCATTGACATGACAGAAACGAACATTTCTGAATGTCTTTAGAACAATCTGGAGCTGTAAGTATAAGAGCACATAGACTAGTATATGCCCATGGACCACTATGAAACTGCCTGAACAAAGATATAAGGTCACATGGTAATATAAAAGTAAGCACTATTATCTATTGTTCAAATAGTGTTTTCATTTATTTGTAACAGTGTTGAGTATTGAGTCTGTTCCATAGTTTTGAAATAATAGTTTGAAATTTTAGGATCAAAACAACACTAGTACTAGTAAGCTGAACCAATAGCTGCTTGTGTTATTAGTTTTGCAAAAGCAAAGTAAAAATTACGTTTGTGAACTTTAGTAAAACTCGAGTAAAACATTTTTGGGCTTTGCTGTGGATTTAAATTTGTATCGGTATTGCAGTTGGTGGTTTGACTGATTTTGGCAGTGAGTCCTTCTCCAGAGCTGGTGCATTACTGTGTATGATCGTGTCCATAATGTGATTGTACTCCCCCAGGCTCAGAGCAGACACTCCCTCACACACAGCTCTCCTGCCTCTGCAGCCTCAGCTCTGGTTTCACACTGATCACCACACCAGATCCTGAGCGGCTTGTCTTGTGTTCGAACAGTTTCAATGTCAAAAGGGGGGCTGAGAATCCAAAAGGCATTCCAGGATTTACAGGCAGAGAGGCAAAAACAATTCTCATTCTCCACTTCTCTAATAATGTTTCCTATAGAGCCAATTTTCACAGACCTATATGAGAGAATGTTTAAACAGCAGAGATAGACCGATATATCAGGCCGATATTAGCACTTTTTCACATAACAGATGATATTTAGTTTTGGCTGACCTGTGTAAAGATTACACACTATGTTTTATTTTAACACTTTAATGTGATGAGGTAATTGCAAAAAGTACAGGTTTGTGATAAAAAGGGCAGTGAGTGAGTTTGTTGTAAATTTGAATTACATGATAAAAATCATAATCAAAATCTCCACATATTGGCCCAAAAACATCAGCAGAGCCCAGGATTCTAAACAATTGGTATCGACCATGAAAAAGCCCATACTGGTCAATCGCTGGTAAACAATAATAGTTACCCATTAGACTAATGTTACTCTTACTGTTTAGGTTAATGTGTAGAGTAATGTAGTTGATAATAAAACAGAAATAGCTGAGCTGTTAAAATAGCCTCACCCTCTTACTTCCTTCTGTCTGAGTTTCTTACCCTGACCGAGGAGATCAAAGTCACAGGGGCTTCCTCGTAGTCAAAATATATCTCATTTATAAAGCTCTTCATGATCTAGTTCAGGGGTGGGCAATTATTTTTTCCAAGGGGCCACATGAGAAACAGAAAATATTGTGTAGGCCAAAATGCTTACTCAATTCAGCATAATATGAATTGTATTTCTTTATAAAAAGCAGTAAATCTCAGCTGTACGAGCTGTACAGATAAAGTGAAGCTGCTTTACAAAAAATGTAATAAAAAAAAAACATCTCTAAAATAAAAGCAATGCAGCTTTATTCCACGTGTGACGCCATATTATAAAATATGTTTTTAATTCCAGATGAGCTTAGGTCTGATCTGCCTGTATAAGGCCTTCAACTTTTAAGCTAAAGTTGAAGGCCTTATACACCCTCTACTGTGTTAGAAGATTTTTCTGACTTTTTTGTTCTATACTAAAATGTGTTCACTTCTCAAGCTTTCTTTTTCACAGGTGGCTGTATTGATTTGATACTGAAAATTTTGCTCATATTTGGCACTAATATATGTATATTTTTTAGTATGATTCATTTGTACACCTCACTATAACTGAACATAAATTTGGTCTGTATTATAGATTTTGAAAGCTTCATATCGGCATCAGCAAATGGTTATTGGTTAACAGCAAGACAAATATTATATTATTATTAATATCCGGATCACCTTGACTATATTAATACTATATATTATACTTTCACTTCTCAAACTTTTGAAATGTTAGTTGCAGTATGTATTTTATGTTGACTTGTTTGAAGTAGCTGCTTACAGTGTTCTGCAAGTCAGAAGTGTTTAAAACCTGAAGGTGGTTTAGTTCCAACACTTAATCCTCCTCTTCTTCTTCTCACATTCTTCTCCTCCAATTCTGCTTGCAACTCCTCCACTCAGACCATCACCTGCTGCAGCTGATCTTCAGGGTCTTTTAGTGAAGGCTCCAGATCTCCACATCTGAGGAGGGGCAGTATTCACTCCTCCCCTCTGTTCTGGAAGGCACTGCTCAGTTTTTCTGTTTCTGTCGAGGATTTGTGTTGACCAGTTCCAAGGCACTGTAGGCAGCGATGGATCTGCACCACTCTGTGAAAGACTGTCCCGTTTGTTCCTAAGTTTAGACCTTACACCTGGGCTCTTTTGACTCTGAGGCTCTCCCCAAGCTAATCTCAGATCATCACATGGTTCTAGCTGCTCTTGTGAAGATTTCAGTGAAGCCTCCAGATCTGCACAACTGAGGAGACCAGACCTCCTCCTCACTGCTCTGTAAGGCTGTGGTCAGCTCTTTAATTCCTCCCGATTATGGTATATTTCCACCAGGATGTTATAGACAGCACACCAGCTCTTTTTTTCAGAAATTATCTTCATTGTTTCCAAAGCTTAAAAGCTTTTGAAACACCGACTCTAAGCTCAGGTTCTTCTTCATCTCCTGAGTTTGGTTCCCCTCTTGCTCTTTCTGAAGCTCAGCATAGATAGTGCTCTTTCAGCCTCCTGCGTGGTCTCTTCTTGGAAAAGCTTCTTTCTTAGCTTCTTTCCGCTCTCGGCCTCTTTCACCTGGTTTCTGAGGTTCTTTGTCTCCTGCTCGTAGTTTTGGAACCATTTACAGTTCTGGTGACTAGCTGGACAAGCAAATGGAACCTAAGGTGAAAACTAGTTAAGTAGTTAATTTCTCTGATGGAGGATGATGCTTGTCTCCAGATATGTTGCTTTGTCTAGAATGCATGTCTAGGAACACAAGCAGGTGTGCAAGCAAGTTACTGGTCAAATCTGTGAAGAGGGGACCCTGCTCACATTTAAAAGATGTGTCTCTCAAAGTGATTTTAGTTGTATAAAGCACTTCTCATTAAAAAAATGCAACCAATACACTTTAAATATAGTAACTCTGCTGTATGTGCCTGCTCATCTCTGCTCTGAGCTCATAAACCAGGAACAAGTGCTCTGTCTAATGGCCTGAGCTTCCTGTCTGATAATGGCACAGATAGGCCCGAAAGTGATGTCTCACTCTCTCAAACAAACTCTATACCCGCTCATGCAGACACATCTCCCTCTGAGCTGACCGAGTGTACCCTTCACCTATAGATGTATAAGAATAACTGGACAGAGCACCCCCTCCAGACTGATGCCATTTTGCCGTTTTGATTCGGGGCCACTCTGTGTACTGCAGCTCTGACTTCACCATTAGCTTTCAAAATGAACTTTTTTCCACAGTTTGAAATCTTCAGCAGAAATTTTGCAACAATGAATATTTTTTTCTTTTCACCCAGTCCTAGTGTAGTAATATTTGTACAAAAGTATTTTCTTTTCTTTTTCAGGGGTGCGTCGCTGGATGGTGGACCTGGATATCTCTGTGTTGGACCAGCAGCTGAAGCGCTTCGTGTCGCGGCATTCAGCCTTCCTCTCTGAAGAGGTCAAAGGTTAGACCTCCACGTTCATCTTCTTCACTTCACTTGTCTGTCCCACACAGTGTATCACTGCTCACTGTAACACACACTCAAAAATCTATTAAAATGTGACAAAACAGGGTTTTGGGAGCTTTTTTTTTTTTCTTCAAAAAATTGCTGCTTGATCACTTCGCTGTCCGACCGCTGCCCGACCGCTGCCCGACCACTCTTGAACCGCTGCTCGCTGTCCGACCGCTGCCCGACCGCTGTCCGACCGCTGTCCGACCGCTGTCCGACCGCTGTCCGACCGCTGCCCGACCGCTGCCCGACCGCTGCCCGACCACTCTTGAACCGCTGCTTGTTGTCCGACCACTGTCCGACTGCTGCGTACTGTCTGACCGCTCTACGACTGCTGCATACTGTCCGACCGCTGCTCACTGTCTGACCACTGTCCGACCGCTGCTCGCTCCCCTACCACTTGCTCACTGTCCGACTGCTGCACTCATTCAAATCTAACACCCAATCCAACAACACTTGAGACGTGCCTGATGTTGATTTTCCAGGTCAGTATAAGTCTGGACAGAAAGTTCCCACTGTAACTTGAGGAAACCCACACAGCAGACTGTTCACAAATAAAAATTTAATTTGACCCAGTTCCTTTTGGAGATGAAAGAAGGTCTGTTTTTGGACAGAGCCTTCTTGTGTGATTAGCTGTAAACTCGATCAGCTGATTAGCCTCCCCAGTCATGTGACCTCCTCTATATTGGCTCTTAATGGCATGAGCTGCTGATGGCTCTAAAACCGCTTTCTTCCACTCACTTATTATGGAGGGCACTGCAGCCATCATTGTTTAGGATTAAACGTTGTCACATCTGATTTATTTATACTGAGGACACAGTAACACCTGTTTGACTTGTATATTGAAGTCTCTGTGTCTAATTTTTCCTTATTTCCTAGTTCTGGAAATGTGCAGTGTGTTGAAATTGCAGCTGATTGGGACAGAATGAAATGCATTTTAATAGTGATGGGTGATAGATAATGCAGTATGTGCCCATGTCTCATTCCCAGTTTGTCCTCAGTGCATCAGATTAGTCTTTCTAATGGAAATAGACGAGACATTAGGCTCCATATATGGCTGTATATTACACAAAGAAACATGTAAGAAATGATTTTATATCCTGGATCGATACATTTATATTTACAAAAGTGAATTTTTGGTCTTCTACTTAATACATTTCTGGGCTTTGCTATGGATTCTAAAAGCTAAATATTGGTATTGGCAAATGACTCCTACTCCTACTCCTACTGCCACAGCAGCAAGCCAAACATATGGACTACAATGGATATCAACTGAAAAAGTCCAGATCGAACCATCCCTCAAGTTTGGAGTATCTAGTAGGTGTGACATCCCATTTGTCCACTGAGACATGCTGTTGAAAGAGCACCATGTGGAAGCAACTGCGTGGGACTGTCAGTTTTCTCATAGTGCATCAGGAGGTGAGAGACTGTCAGCGGAGCTCCTCACTCATATTTCAAAGTCGGTACCAGCTATTCAATATAAAAGATGGGTATTATTCAAACTTGAGTTTTTGGAGCTCTTTACCCTGATATCCCCTCATCAAAAACATGCCTGAAGTGCAAATAAATAATTTATATATAAACAATCATACATACCATCCAGCTGTAGAGAACATGGAGGGCCCTTATTCTCATAAAATAAATAAATAAATAAAAACATGTTTTTGAGTAAACCACTACCTGCACAAACTGTGATGAAACTGAAGTGCAGTCATTTTAATAAATGACAGTAAACGTGACCAGTGCTGCCACAACTTGGTTTTGTAAAATAGTGATCTGTTGGAACTGTGTCACCAAATAAATATCACCACATTTTTGGCACACCCTTCACATTTGCATATTCGAAAACCCTAACGGCAAGTCACAGAGATGAAAACAATACTTTGACTATCACCAACTAACTATCGCCAACTAAGCCCACAGTCATAATAAATCAGACTAGTCTTTCCAGAAGTCTGACTAGAATAACGGCTGTCAGTATGTACACAATCTATTTTAAATGTAGTAGTTCACATTGTGTTGCTCAGTGTGGTTTCTCTGTTTTGGGGAAATGGGCCTAAAAGCCATGAGTGTCTTCAGGAAGGAAGCTTAGCACTTCCTTTAGCTCCCAGGTTAAAGAGCACACATCTGTAGTCTTGGACCCCTTACATCAACATCAGACTCATCTCTCACTGTTGAAACAGGACTGGGAGGAGCGGAGCACTGTTCAAATATTCATCTCAAATCAACACTTGAGCCTCAGGGATTGAACAAATGCATGCTTTTTCTAGTTTTGTATTGTGAATGACAAATGCAACTGGCCAACTTCTGCCTTTTTTATTTAAACTACACAGTGCATTACTTCACATCTTTAGCCTTGTGTCTGAGTGTTTTTTACTTCTATGGGGTAGTAACTGCTAGCACATTACCTGTTTGAGAGTGTTATAATTGACAAACGGTGTATTAAGATGTTGTTGTTTTTTTTTGTTTTTTTGATGAGGGAACATTGTTATAAGTATATAGTGGAACGCTCCTAATAATCTATTTTGCATAATACCCCATCTTAAAAACAATAACGCTGCCTTTTCCTTATCCTTAAAGCTGCCGTATTCCCTATATTTAAAGCTGGTATATTCCCTATAGTTAAAGCTGGTATATTCCCTATAGTTAAAGCTGGTATATTCCTGATTTGAGTGAAACTAGCTCAGGTGGTACTTGGGAAAAACAATTGTTTGTATATCTAGGTGTGGTGGTACTGTATGAAAGGTTTGAGAGTCACTAGCCTATATCATTCTTTGCATTTGTTACTATATTCAGATTAGATTTCCTCTGACCATACAGAGAAGTGGGAAATGAATAGTGAAGTAAGAGTTGCCTAACAGCCTATAGCTTTGTTTAGCTATGACACTTCTGCTTTAGGTCAGAATGAGCCTCTCAGTGCTTTAGACTCACAGTAAAGGAACTGAAATGTGCCTTTTCAGGCCAGAGGACTCTGCAGCACAGTGGAGACGTTCTGGACACGCAGGTCGTGGTCAACCCAGCCTCCTACTTCGTCTGCTCTGAGGTAAGATACAGTCTTATTCTGAAAGGCCTGCACTTCAAAATAAAGTGAAGCATCGGCCAAACTGTATTGTTTGTCTTGAATTATTAACAGATTATTATCCATCATAATGTCCCCTTTAAGCTCCTGCATGCTAGTCTTTTACTTGTACAGTACTTGCAGTACAAGTCACACTGCGTTAGTGCATCTGATACATCACATGTTTCAGAAAGTCACTGGCCACAGCTACAGTCAATAAGACTAAAAGACTGTTCACTGCTGTGAAGGAGTACAGGGGATTTACAGAATACACTTGAAAATAAAGCTTGGGGTAAGTTATCCACCATACTCGGGTGCTTGTATTTGTATACCCTCCAGGGGCGAGGCGACGTTCAGTTAGCAGGCCTTTTGGTTTTATGACAGGCCTGCTCTCTTATTATGCAACATTCTAATGGTTAAATTTGCACGTCCACCAGACAGACAGAAGTTTGTTCAAACTTATAATCCTGGGACAATATTTAAATTTTACATCTATTTTCATGAGAAAATAATTATAATAAAATGGCACCATTTGTTTTCTAAATGTGATAGAAATGTGATAGAAATGTGCTTAAATCACATTCCAACATTTACTATTACATTTTTACAAATGTCATGAGTTTTGTTGTGCATCTGGAGATATGATGTTATTATGTATTACTTTTCAGTGCAATAAACCATAATATAGTTCACTCTCTTCTTTAGATTGTGTGATGTGTGGACTTGGCACTAGACTGCCAAGCAGAGCTCTGTTACTCAGATGTTGGATTCTGCTTATATTATATATATATATATATATATATATATATATATATATATATATATATATATATATATATATATATATATATATATATAGATGTTATAATAAATTATTTGTGCGAGAGTATTGAAAGCATACCCAAAAGCTGGGTAAGTTTCACTTTTTAGCACTGAGTTCAAAACAAGCTGTGAATAATCATCTTGACTCTAACCAAGTCACTACTTCAGCTACGTTCCACTGCACTGTCATCAGAAACACAAACATACATACAAACACACAAACGTATTCACATAATATACAGACAGAGATACAGATATTAGGACACTACTGTGGCACCCCGTTAAACAGGGCCGCATGTTTTGGACTCAGTCAGTGTGTCCCTAAATAAAATCATGTGTCTGACTCAGAAGTGTGTCTTGTCCCTCTGTTCCACACGAGCACTTCCTCCTCAGCTGCTCTCTGTCACTCTGTGAATTTAAAGGACCCTTATTACACTGTTTTCTGATCTGTTAGTATGTTATAATGTTGTTTCGTCATCACAAACATAAAACAAAAATTCTGCACGTTTAAAGTTCTTCTCTCAAACCAAAAACACTCTCCCACCTTGTGATGTCATGTGGTGATACAGAAAGTACTCCATTATTTTTTATTCCCTACACCTTCACTAGAATCATCTGGACAATTTCTGGTCTGAAATTGACCATCTTTACTGAACTTGGACTTTTTTTTTTCATTATTCTTTTTCTTTTTTGTGCTCATTCCTTTCAGACACATCTGGTCCACATTTTTACGATTTTAACTCTTTAAATGCCATTTATCACAAAAGGACCAAATTTGTGTTGGCAAAAACAAAAAATGTTTATATTTTTTCAGTCTGATAAATGCAAAGCAGGTTATTTTGTGCTGTTTTCTTGCAACCTGGTAAAGGTCAATCATTGAGAACAACATGACTTTTTGTGCATTGGTAGATTTTGTGTAGTATGAAATAAAATGTGGACTGAATTTTCTTTGTTCATTACAATATTGAACTTTCTTTGGGCTCATTCTTTTCAGCTGTTTCTGCTCTATATATTGATATCAAATATTATTGTAGTTTTTTTATTTTATTTACCCTTTTTAAATGCCTTTTTTGTTTTTTGGTTAAAAATGACGCAAATGATGATTTCTTTCCAACATGTGAAATACAGATTCTCTTGAGCTCTTTTATTGCAGTCTGGGGTGGGTCAATAATTGGCAACAACAGTAGTTTTTGTGCATAGTTTTTTTGTGCAATATCAAATACTCATATTTGTATCGTTGAGTGTGTAAAATGTACCCTTGTACATGTTCCCCATTGAAAAGCATTATAATGATCAAGGAGTGTCGCTAACTACACGTAGTGGATATTTATTTCAAATTGGCTTTTTTGGTGTTTTTTGTACCCCAAACTATTCTTCATCAGTGAAGATGATTTTGTGTTTTTTTGTGTTTTTTTCCCCCTTTGACAGCCACACCGTCCATGTTTAGTGTTTATCAAGAAACCTTAAATATAATCCTAAAACGGCACAGAGAGGTGAAACATGTACTGACTGTGACCAGAATCACTTTAAAAATTACTATAAAAATGATAAAAATTTGCATAAAATAGCCTTTTGAAGCCCCCAGAAATGTCAGAAAAGAATGAACCCAAAAAAGTCTAATAAAATAATGAATAAAAATGTTCCTGGATGCCCAAATACTGTGCACATTTATGTGCTTAATAATGCTATGGTGACAATCTGATGACCACAGTGTACTGATGATCTGATGTGGTCGATGAGCAGCAAGTTTAAACTTCCTCCAAAAAAACCACCTCCAGCCTTCTCACCCAATGTCATCCTGTTTGGATGAATATGTACAAAATTATCGACCGATGAAAAGTCAAACGTGCCTAAAATGCACTGAATAATGCCAGAGGGTTAAAGCTCACAAGAGGCCATTTTGTGTAATATATAGGACCTTTTTAAAACTGAACTTCATCTCTTTGGTCAGGTGCGGCGACTGATCTGTGAGCCCTCCCAAAACAAACTCCTCATTTTGGCTGGACAGTGCGTGGAGGACACTGGAGACATCGTGCTACAGAAAGGCTGCTTTTCTCTCAACGACTTCATCCAATATTTACTGACGAAGAGGTATGAAACATTATATTAAGATTATAAAGGAAACTCACACCAGACCACTCGTAAAGTGTTCTACCACAAGTAAGACGATTATGAGATTATGCGGCAAGCTCACAATAAACAAACAGCTTTTTTAAAACAGATACTTATAGTACATTTTATTGTACATTTAGAGGCACCAATACAATACTGGGATCAGATACTGATGTTTGGTGATTTTGGTTCCAAAATATCAGTTCGGCCAGTATTCCAGTTTCAGTCTATAAATTGGTGTAACAGTACGATTTGATAGGGGCCGATATTTCACGTGGGCATGTGATACATCGTTAAAAATCTTAGACTCTCTACATTCTGTTAATTTAATCCAATTTACAGACAGATAAATGTCCTAATATGTGGCTCTGCATCAGTATTTATCTACGGAGTCATTTGTCTGTGTGTGTCCGTACTGTCCCTGAACACACCACAGAGTCGCGTCACTCACATGTGTTTGTTTAGACCTGCAGACATAGATCCAAACACTGAGATTATTTTCTTTTTACGGACAATCGGTTTGAGTCTGGATTAAAAGGACATTTATTAGTGCAGATTTGTGATGTGAGGAGGAGCCTGTGTGAGCGGTGAGTGTTGGAAATATGTCGACTCTGAAGCTAGTTTTTGTCATTTGTTATGGGTTAGCTGCTGTAGCTCCCGCACATAAACAGACTGTTTTCTATTGGTCTATTGTAAATTGATTATATTGGCCGTATATTTGTTACTGGACCTGCACTGATATGTAAATGATCTGTGAATAGACGTGTGAATTATGACATTTGCGCATTTAATTAATTACCGCGGCGCGCACGTATTTACGGCTAAAGGCTAATAGCGATTGTTTATTTACTAGTTATGGGTTCGTCGCGAACGAAATGACTCTTAGAACCGGCTCTTTGAAGGGAACGACGGGGGCCTGATCCTTATTGGGAGCCGTGTTTTCTCTTTCTCTCACTTTTTTTCTTTTCACGCCGCGTGCAGACTCGTGGTTTGACAGCGGCAGCGGCTGAAAACGGAACTTTGAGAAATTTGCGTGTACATAGGAAAAAAAACAAACAAAAAAACGAGCATATTTGGCTGTAGTTTAGCATAAAATAAGTAAGTCCTGGTTTAGTCCTTTTTCAGTCCTGGTTTAGTCCTGATTCAGTCCTGCTTGCAACAAAACAATCTGAAGAGCCACTTGGGAGCCAAAAGAACCAGCAGCTTTTAGTGAGCCGAGCCAAAAGAGCCGGTTCTCTCAAAAGAACTGGAATACCCATCACTAGTGTCTAGAATGTGATGCAAAAATGCCATTAAGTCAACCTACTGTATGTAAATATGATGTAAAGAGGCAGAATAACAATAAATGTTGCCTAAATAAACCCAATTTAAAATCCACCAGAGCCAAACCTATGTTTTACATCACTAAATATATTGGTGATTATATCGGCTATCGGCAGCTCCAACTCGCATTATATCGGTTTCATATCGGCCTCAGCAAAATCCATATCGGTCGGGCTCTACATTTGACTCATACTGCTCAAAACAGTTTATGTGAAGTGTTACTTAAAGAATATTTTAATTGTGTTTTTCAATACATACATAAAATAGACTGGCTATGTGCATAATGGGGAGGAAACTAGAGGTATTTTTTTCCTTAAGTCCCTTTTTAAAGTTGTTGTTGACTGTGTGGTGAGGTTTATCATGAGGCGTGAAAGCTCTGTGCCTTCTGTTTCATGTTCATCAGATACATGAGGTCGTGGTGGCACACCCTACATTATACAGGATCACAATAACTGCTCTGAGCCTCGGGCTCATTCTTCACCAAAGCAAATGAAGAAGTCAGCTATTTCATCTTCACACAAACACAGAGACACACAGAGACACACAGAGACACACAGAGACACACAGAGACACACAGAGACACACAGAGACACACAGAGACACACAGAGACACACACGCAGGCACACACACACACACACACGCAGACAGACACGGTACCATGTGGCCTTATGTCTGTCCAGGTAGGTTCATAGTGGTCCATGGGCGTCTACTAGTCTATGTGTTCTGATTTCCGTCCTGTGAATGTGACTTTTTGGACATCTACTCAAATGAGTATCTAGTTTTGATATAGTTTTAGTATTGATTAGTATATGATTTTTGATACTTCTGACAGCCCTGTTATCTATACATGATGATAAATAAAGCATTATCAAGTAGAAACTGTGCGTCAAAGTCCAGACTGCTGAGCCCCTCCCACAGTTCAGAGTTACAGAGTCCATATTGTAAAACACTCACAGCATTGTATACCCATTCATTACAGCATCTCAGCCTTTCACTGCAACCATTTTCTTCTGCCTCTTTCAGATTAAAGAGGTGCTACGTTCTTCCAACTCCTCTGTGAAGACCAGACTCACTTTGAGCTGTCCCAACTATGGTCTCTGGAAGGACCCACAGTTGCAGAGGCACAATCTTCAGGACTTGCTTGATATCCAAATAAATCCCAGTCCCGTTTTTTCCCCAAATGGAGGGACTTCAGGAATTTACCGAGTATCTTTCTGAATGTTTGGAGCTGGAGTCACCCTTGGACCTTCTGGAGCCTCCCAGCACAGTGGGCTTCCTGAAGCTGTCCCGCCCGTGCTGCTACATCTTCCCTGGTGGAAGAGGGGATGCTGCCTTTTTTGCGGTCAATGGGTTTAATGTCCTGGTCAACGGTGGTTCAGATCCCCGCTCTTCATTTTGGAAGCTTGTCCGACATTTGGACAGAATTGATTCGGTTTTATTGACCCATATTGGTGTTGATAATCTTCCAGGATTCAACAGTTTGCTGCTGAGAAAAATAGCAGAACAAGATGAGGAAGCAAGTGCATCTCATCCTGAAGAGGAATGGATGAAATATCTCATATCACCTGAAATTGGAGTTGTTTTTCTTAACATTCCTGATAAGCTCATATCAAGTCAAGGCGATCTGAGCGAACTGCGCAGTTGCGACCAAGTTGAGGCAACTTTACAGAATTTGGAACGACTCTCAATCAAGCCTGAACCTCTAACACGCTTAAATGGACCTTCAGTTGAGCCGGTTATCATGTTTCAAAAAATGGGTGTGGGTCGCTTAGAGTTATACATACTCAATCCGATCAGTGGTAGCAAAGAACTTGAGAGTTTCAAGAAAAGTTGGCCCGAAAACATTTCAGAAACAAAGACTCTTCCACTGACATGCCTTGTTTCTATCTGTGCCTTGTTGATTTGGCATCCATCAAATCCCCAAGAGAAGATCATCCGGGTCCTCTTTCCAGGCTGCGCGCCTCAAGCCAAAATCCTGGATGGCCTCGAAAAGCTCAAACATCTCGAGTGCCTTAAACACCCTGCAGTGTGCCAGAGGGATTTGGAAACACCCAAATCCGACAAGCTTCCGAAGCGAGCTGAGAGCCGCGAAAGCCTTAAGAGCAACACCTTAAAGGAGAAAGCCTCACGGGTGGATGTAAAGAAACTGGAGGTCAAACCAAAGCTGAAATCAACTACAGATACAACAGTGAAGGATAAAAAGGATGTGGAAGAGAAGCCAAAAGCCAAAGTCACTGATACAAAAGCAAAGCCACCAAAACCACAGGTAGAGAAGATTGCTCCAAAGAAGGAAGATGTGAAAAAGGACGCCAAGAAAAAGGACGACAAGGCAAGTGCGGGTATTGTGAAGAAGGATGAAGGTGTAGATGGCAAAAAGGAAGTTCTCAAGAAGGAGCCGTCAAGTCAAGGTAGTGCCAAAGCAAAGAAAGATGTTAAACATGAGCCAAAGAAAGATCTAAAAAAGGACATAAAAGCAGACGATAAGAAAGCACCAAAAGCTCCTGTTAAAGATCTAAAGAAGACATCTGGTGTGGCTTTGAGTACATCTTCAGTATTGAGCTCGGATGTAAAAAGGGGTGCTGTGAAAACTGCGTCGCTGAAAAAAGAACCTCTAAAGAAAGATGCTTCAACAAAAGGGACTAAAGGTAAAGGTGGAAGCAAAGATGTAGTGGACAACAAGGAAGCTGATCGGTCGAAGGTGTCCACACCAGAGGACATGACGGCAGAGTTTGAGAAGCTGCAGTTGGAGGAAAGAAAAGCAGAAGGCAAACACATTGCTGGGGATGCTGGTGCCAAGTCTTCATCAGAAAGCCATGAAGATATAGCAGCTCTGAAAGTAGCTAAGGGGGATTTGAGCGTCAACTTTAATCTCAATCCGACATACCCTGAGAAACGTCTGGATGGGGCTTGTGTGAGCTCAGAGGACAAAACGATTATGTCCTCTGTAGATTCAGCCCCCAACAGTGCAGGACACACGCCCTTCCACCAATCACCAGATGAAGACATACGAGGACTGGGCGAGGACAGTGGTCTTGATGCTAGAGGTTCCAGTTTAGGGTTTGAGGACTATAACCAAGGTGGATCATGTCGGACATCAGAGCTGAGCTCATTAAGAGAAGGTTTGGAGAATTCAACATCATCCCAAGACAAACAGTCCAGTCTCCTAAGTCCACTCAAGGATATAATGCCAGATTCTTCCCCCACAATGACCTCCATGCCCGCAGAAGTGGGCTCACCACACTCTACTGAAGTTGACGACTCCTTGTCTGTCTCATTTGAGCAAGGTATGCCAAACGCCGTTACCAACGGGCATTCACATGACAACCTTCCATCTCAAAATGGCTGCTCTGGCAATAGCGACCATATCCACGGCATGTCCAATCTCTCAGCCAACATTCCACATGATGTTGATCTTTGTTTAGTGACACCTTGCGAATTCCAACATCCCAAAACACCTGGAAATCACTCACAACATACAATATGCAGCTTAGCGACCTGTGCGGAGACCAATGAGAATAACAATCTTCAAGAGCTGAGCATAAGCGAATCAGGGAATAGTCAAGAGACTCCACCCACTTCTGTCAGCGAATCACTTCCAACTGCGACAGACTCTGATGTACCGCCGGCAACAGAGGACTGTCCCTCCATCACCGCAGATTTAGACTCTGAGGATGAATCCAGTAATGTATACCTCCACTATTCTCATGATCCACCCCCTGCCCCAGTCAAAGATCTTCCCCCACTACCCCCTCAGCCTGGAGCGTGCATGACTGACCCTGAAAATGACCCCTCAAGTAAGAACAAAAATACTAAGAGCAAAAGACCAGCAAGTGCTGGTCAGAAAGCCTCATTCAGCAGCACCACTGCCCACAATGGGAAGCCCAAAGCTGGAAGTGCCACTGGCTCTTTAAGAACGGTGCCCAGCCTGGATGTGAAAACTGCAACCAGGAACTCTCTGGGAGGTTCCAAAAGCGGACCTACTAAGCTCTCATTAGGTAAGCCACATTACTGCATTATTTAAATGATCTGTATGTAAGATTTCAATTTAAAATTTCATAAACTTGACCTATTTGTGATCCTAGAGACAAGGTAGAAATGTTCAAATCTAATTTATCTTGCAGATTTATTCTTAATACCAAAAAAACATTGGACATGATGTCTCATGCATTTATGTTATAATTTGGTGTATTGGTTCTCAAGAAGATTGACCAATTAGAAATCAGAATGAACCTCACTGAAGTTATAGCGCAGGCTACATACATACAGTTCTTTTTCAATGTAGCTTTTTGACTCTGTGTTCAGTTTTACAGTTCCTTATTTATAAGTAAAATATAACTGGTAGAAACCAATAAAGTTTGGTTGACATGACTTGATTGATTTGTGAAAGTACATTCTACTGGCTTGTTAGTTATATGCAGCAGATGGTATTGAAATGTTACTAATTGTTCAAAATACATGTTTGCTTATTGTCACTTTCCCCACATATGCTGTTATCCTTTAAACCCATGAAAAGTCCTTTTTTTGTGCTATGTTGTTTCCCCAGCACACAGGCCGGTGTACGAGGGCCCTGCGGTGTACGTGGACCTGGCTTACCTGCCCTCTGGACCCTCCGCAGCTTCTCTGGACGCAGATCTGTTCAGGAGGCTGCGCTCTCTGTACTACGTCTTCAGTGGTCAGGACTCGGTGAAGGAGGAGGTCATGAGGCCCATCCTGGATGCTCTGCTGGAGGGGAAGAGCGGCTGGCCCCAGCTTCCGGTAAGCACTCACCAACCCAATAAACCCGACCAAACATGAAGTCAGAGTGGTGGCACGGTTATGTTCTTCTTTCTGGGGCCAGGACTTCCCTGTATCAGTGTGACTACCACAGTGAAAAAGTATTGTATAAATAAGAATCAAGTTCAAATCACCATATTCAGCTTATTTTGTTAAATGGTGAAATATATAGCAAAATACTCATGCAAAATGATGGAGTGAAATAAATGTGTGATTGGTCTGTTTCCATCAGGTGACTCTGATCCCGACGTTTGATTCACTGGCGATGCACGAGTGGTACCAGGAGAGCCATGAGCGGCAGAAGGAGCTCAACATCACTGTACTGGGCAGTAACAGCACTGTGGCCATGCAGGAGGAGAGCTTCCCCGCCTGCAAGGTCGAGTTCTGAACAGGAGTCTGCAGCGGGAGCTCTTAGCCTGCAAGAGGGAGCCCTAAGCCTGTGGGAGGAGGAACCAGGTGGAGCTCTAACCCCACACATACTCCAGACCAGAACGTAGTCTCCTAAAGAAGTCCCAGGTCTCTCACTGCTGCACACGTGTCACTTTGGGTCCACTTTATTTAGTTCTGTTCAGTTTTGTTTGAAGAACCCATTCTGCTGAATCAGGACTTTGACCAACACTAGGGGGCGGTGTTAAACCTTAAATTAGGCACCGTAACATTTTACATTTCAGATTGAATCCACAGAAATTGGTTGAGTCTTACGTTTACCTGAAACCAGGTCTATGAAGAGATTTTCTTTCTTTACAAATAAAGGTCTGTCATGTGCCACACATGCAGCTGTGAAAGGCCAAAACAGCTCTCCAAGAGTCTGATGCTAGACTTGGCTTTTGAAAGGAAAGTGTAGGCCTTATCATGATGAAATATCAAAATGACATTTGAGATTTTTCAATAAATGATTGATGCACTCTAAATCTCAAAAAGGCAAAACACGTCTTTGGTTGCTATGATGACTATTCAGTCTACAGTGTTGTTCCACATACTACCCACTTTACTCCAACAAGCATGATGCTGACTCACAGTTACATGGTTAGTACAGGTTTAGCTAAAGGTGCACTATGGAAGTTTTCTCGTGGAAGGTCCATCAAGTGCTTGTTTTCTTGGAGATGTCTTTTCTTTGGCTGGAATCTTCTACAGCACGGCATTTTCATTTCATAAGAAACAAGCATGTGATGCTACAAAGCCAAATTACAGGTCTGATCTGTGGACAGGTGACCATAAGAATTCATGTTCTTATGTAAGATAGAAACATTTTATGGCATCTCCATGGAGACAGATAGTTTGCAGACTGTCTACCTGAGAAGTTGCATAGTGCACCTTTAAAGGTTGTATGGAGGATTTTTTTTTTGTTTTTTTTGTTTCAAGTTGTCAATGATAGCATTATAGAGGTGCAGTAGCCTTGTAATTATGATGACCAAAAAAAAGAGAATAAAAATTCATCAACTCTGGATGTGGTGGGGCCAGCTAAACATTTGCCAATAGATAACGACATTGCCTCGTTATCTGTTAGCTGACAGGCTATCAATCAAACTCCCTACGTTTCTAGCGTAACTGACCTGCCTGCGCTGCCGGTACGTGGTTTACGTACGCCTGTCACGCAGTCCACAGACGCAAGACGCACAGACGCTGTTTACTCCACCAACGCACAGTTCTTAGCGGCTTTTTTTGACCTATATCTTCCTCGCAGTTAGCACAAAGTTTGTTGCAATGGCAGACAAGAATCCAGGAGCAGTTAGCCGCAAAAGAAAGTCCGTTTTTGAGGTCGCTGAAAGAAGAAGACAAGGGGAAAAGCAGCGAAGCCAAACTAAGGTGATTCTTGTAGATTCATTCCAGCGATGGCGCGACTGAAGCAGACGCAGGGTCTAAAGACTGACGCATTGGTCGCCAAATTACTCCTGGACAGGTAACTTCTGCTTATTATGAAAACGTACTTTATTTCCAAGAGCTAGTCAAACGTTTTTCAGGACACGAAAGCGATATCCTATGTCTGAAAACGTAATTTTCAAGGCAAAGAAAGAGTCCGCTTGCTGCTGCGTGTTGTAGCTAGTTCATTCGCACTGAATCTCCGCGCAACCTTCTCTGCTCCCCTTTCCTACTCCTGTCCCCGCTGCCCGTTCCGCTCTTCCCCCTTCTCCTCACTTCTACGGGCACGGAATCTCCGCGCACCGCTCCCCTCTCCTCTCTCCTCTCTCCTCTCTCCCTGCTCCCCTGCTCCGCTCTTCTCCCTGCTCCTCACTTCTCGTCCGCGAACGAAATGTCCGCACACCCGCTCCCCCCGCTCCTCACTTCTCCGCCTTGCCTAACCAACACTGTAGTTAGTTGTTTACAAGTCATGTGCAGCTCACCGGCTGTAAACAAACCTGTTTCTGGCGTAAAGAGGAGGCGGGAGAAGGCGTTTCTACGTAGGGAGCTGTAGGGGAGGGGGGGTGGTTTCACGCATGCGCAACATTTGAAAAAGGACAAACAGTCGCTGGATTTCTCGTTCCTTGGAAAATCCTCTATACAACCTTTAAGCTTCATAGTTTATTTCAGGTTTTTGACACAGATCAGAAAAAAAGCATATCAAAGTTTGTACAGTGTATAAGTACAATGTATATTCAGTTATTTAGTAAAGTGTTATGCTTTATTTGAAATCTTTAGTTAATTTTATGACAAACACGAGTGTGTACAGTATTATGTCGAGACCTTCTGAAAATAGAAGTGTAGAAAACTAGTATTCCATAGTTATTATGCATGTTCATATTTCTTTAAAGGCACTGTACCTGATTTTTTTTGGTCTTAAAAACATGTAAAACAACTCGTTCATTTTAACGGTTTGCAGTGGTCCAAAGTTATTCCTCACTTTTTTCAAGTATATCCAAATTATTTACGCTCATGAGTTTACAAGCACTTTTCACAACTTTTAGAGACCAGTGCAGAGTTTTAACCATTAAAGCCAACAGCAACTAGCATGCTAATGTGCACTTTCTGATCATTAAACAATAAAACACTTTCTGATTAGATGTAAACAGTCCACAGCAGATTTATTCTGACCTCAAGAGCTGCTCATCCAATAGATGTGTACTGAGGCACGTTTAGCTCAAATTGATGGCAAGAAATCAGGTACAGGACTTTTAAGTCCACGTATGACTTATAGATCATGTATGGAATTATATTTTTATCACATTATCAGTGTGTACTTCATATCTATAGTACTTAGTGGGCTCCTTCCAAGTGCATTAAATGATCTTTTATTAGTTTTTTGTTTTTGGAAAGTCCTTATCCAGCAGAAAGATGAATGTTCTTTTTTTATTATTATTTTTTTAAGTTTTGATAATTCTGTCAGCTTGAAACAAAATTCATGAAGTCTGATGCCTAAACTGAAATTGAAAGTGTATCTTGCTCCAGGCTTTCACACATGCATGTAAACCTGCACTAATGTGTGTGTGCCATCTCTTTAACTCGACTCCATCCTGTTGATTCTTATCTCGACACATTTTCTTGCATGTTTTTCTTGTCTTTAAAAAATCTACAAATACTTTGACCTTATTAGCCTTATTTATTTATTTATTTGGTTTGTTTCAGTGATTAGTCCTGTAAAATCCACAATGCTGGTACGAACGTCCTAAAGCCATCACAAGAATCCCATGTGAGGTTCAGAATAGAAGTCCTTTTCTTTAAATTGGCTGTGACTGTTGTTACGATGCTGTTGGCATGCATATTGGTTTTCTGCAGTGACATGGACCATGCCTTTGTGTTCAAACCTGTGCTGGGGACACTACTGCGCCTAGAGGTATAGTCAGGGGTGCCTCAGGAAAAAAAAATAAAAATTTTTGAAGTGTCCAGAGCAACTTGTGAACCAGATTCGAAATCAAAACCATCATCAATACCAAATAGAAAGATTCAGGTACCAGGTCAAACACCTGAACTCCACACGCCCACAACCACACGGCAAATTCACCTTATTCCAGAAGTTGTTGTGAGCACCGCCATGAAAGGGTTCAGAGGAGCTCATTGGTCACCTACGATTTACAAATCAAATCACATTCCTCTCCCCTCAGATCAGTTTAGTTTAGCTCATTGATTCTGCAGAAATCTGCCATATTTCTCAACCTCCTGAGATGCATTTTCTTATTTTTTGCCCTCAATACGTCAATTGTGTAATGTGACTGTGTGTATTTTGGATCCCAGGCAAAATTACCAAGAAAACAACAGAACAGTGGACAACACGATTTAAACACTGTATATGTTAAGTAGCAAAAAAGTAGATTCAGTGTTTAGTTTCACTTTAGCCCAAAAAGAAAAGCACTGGATTAGACCACTATACCAGGCTGTTAACGGGGAGCTGTCTAAAGTAATTCATCCAATCAGTGCAGATATTTGAGAAATGCCTCCACTGAAATCTGTGTAAACACAATGCAGTTTTCTAATTCCATTATTTGAGGGAGTCAAAAAATCCTCAATCTAAACCAAAGAATGCTGTGTACATACTCAAGTAGTTTTTGTTATTTGAATAAAATATATTCTGTACAAATCCCCCATGAACACCTGTAGTGTTACTTGTCCTGTTCACCTAAGTAGTGTGTCCATCTCACTGCAGAGAGTTTCTTTGTTGACGCAGTAGATGTAGGAAAACCTTAAAGCCATAGCTGTTTTAGAGCAGTTTGTTTTGTAATGTCACTGCTTTGTCCAACAATAACTTTAATAAACATACCCCCCCCCCAAAGAAAATCTAGTCATGTCTTTATTCAAACTGACGTTAAAGACCGGCCCTTTAAGAAAGAGGAGAGGAGTGGGAGGAGGGCATCTCTATTGGATTAAGATCTGCAAGAACAAAATCCAAGTCATGATTTCATTTTTAACTCGCTCAGTAACATTGAGATTTGAGAGAAAGTGAAATCTCAAGTGTTAAACTAATGTGACTACAGCTCAGTCAGATTCTGCGGGGTTTTGCTGCCCTCTTGTGGACGCCTCCGGGACACATGCCACATTTAAAGCGCCACAGGTGGAAACTAAAGCCGCGGTTTGGAGAGAGCAGGACGCACAGTGCGGGCTGCGCTGATGCTCCACCGTCTGAAAATCTACCGACAAGTGGTACATTCATTTAGTCTCAGCTCTGAGTATGGTTCAAATGTCTCTATCCTCTTCTCTTTTGTATCTTTTCTCTCTTTCCTGTTGTCCTCCTCTCCGCTCTTCCCCCCTTTATTTTGCCCTCTCCCCTCTCCTATCCTCTCTCCTCTCTTCCTTCCTCTCTCACCTCTATTCTCCTCTTCTCTCCCTCTCTCGCCTCCTCTTTTCTTCCTCTCTCCTCTACCCTCTCCTCCCTTTATCTCTCCTCTCTCAACTCCTCTCTTTTCTTCCACCCCTCCCTTACTCCCTCCTCTCCTATCTCCTCGGCTGTGTCCTGTGTCCTCTGTCAGTCCCGGGCTCAGTCTCTCCTCCCTCCTCCCCTCCCTCCGCTCCTCCCCTTCCTCCCTTCTTTCCTCTCCTGTCTCCTCTCCTCCCTCCTCTCCTTCCTTCTCTCCCCTCTCCTCTCTCCTCTTCCCTCCTCTCCTATCTCCTCTCCTCCCTCCTCTCCTTCCTTCTCTCCCCTCTTCCCTCCTCTCCTCCCTCCTCTCCTTCCTTCTCTCCCCTCTTCTCTCTTCTCCTCCTCCTCTCCTCCTCTCTCCTGTCTCTCTCTCCTCTCCTCTCCTTCCTCTCTCTCTCCTCCTCCCTCCTCCCTCCTCTCCTCCTCCCTCCTCCCCTCCTTCCTTCTTCCTCCTCTCCTCTCCTCTCCTCTCCTGTCTCCTCTCCTCCCTCCTCTCTCCTCTCTTCTCTCCTCCCTCCTCCCCTCCTCCTCTATCCTCTCCTCTCCTCCCTCCTGTCCTTCCTTCTCTCCTCTCCTCCTCTTCGCTCCTCACCTCTTCACTCCTCTCCTCTCCCCTCTTCTCCTGTCTCTTCTCCTGTCTCCTCTCCTCCCTCCTCTCCTCTCTCCTCTCCTCCTCCTCTCCTCCTCTCCTCTCTCCTCCCCTCCTCCTCTCTCCTCTCCTCCCTCCTGTCCTTCCTTCTCTCCTCTTCGCTCCTCACCTCTTCACTCCTCTCCTCTCCCCTCTTCTCCTGTCTCCTCTCCTGTCTCCTCTCCTGACTCCTCTCCTGTCTCCTCGGCTGTGGGCGTGTCAGTCCGGGCTCTGTCTCTCCTCTCCTCCCTCCTCTCCTGTCTCCTCGGCTGTGTCCTCTCGGCCGTGGGCGTGTCAGTCCGGGCTCTGTCTCTCTTCGTTGGGACTCGCGCTGATGATTGCTGCGCCTCCTCACGCGGACCCCGTTCAGCACGATGGAGTAAGTATGCACACTTTAGCGTCTCTTGCTCCGTCTTTCGTGCACTTTGCTTTGTTTCGGGCACATTTCCACGTTTTGCTCTTTTGTCTGCGCGCGTGAACGTGCCCTGCGTGCCTCCGTCCGGTGCCGCATCCAAGGGCCACAGCGCTGAGTCAGGCGGTTCAGATGCGCCAGAGCTCCAAACTGCACCAAAAGCCGCGACGCAAAGTCTGCAGCGCGGCACAAAGCGGCACCGGACAGGACACACGTGATTCTCCGGTACAGCGCCGCGTTTATGAGATTTGTGACAGTTCATTCATTAAAACGTGTGGCCTACTTTGCACAGCGGAAGGACACCGGAAACTACACATTCTGAATCGATAATCCTCCAGAGATGTGATAATTAGATATTGATCAGATTTTACCAGAAACGAGCTGATTTGGAATCAATATGAACCATGAGAAGTTAGAGCAGCACAGGACCGGCTGCTTTCCGGCCTGTGGGACTTCACAATAAAACAGCAGCAGACTTAAAGCTCTACTGTGTCACTTTCCTGGTGCAGGGTCCTCAACCTTTTTGTCTCCGTGGAGATGTTATTGCTTTGTCTGCAGTGTTCCACAGTTCGACATTTGACTTGACTTCTGGGTCTTCTGTGTCCAGTTCAGGTGAAACACCAACATTGAACAGATCCGGTCACTTTGCCCCACATACCTTGAAAAATATGCACTTGCCTCTCCGCAGATCTGACCTGTAACTTGCTCTGGTAGTGTCTCCTGCTATTCACTATCCAGGCCATGAATACAAGGTACTGGCCCTTCAACCAGAAATGTTGCATCATGCAGCTTTAAGTGCTACTTGATGAAAGAGACATTTAATTATTCATGACGAGATTGCTCTTATACACTCTGCTGTTCATGTATGATAATGTATAGATATAGATATAGATTTAGATTGATGTATAGAACATCACTGGCCTATCACACTGATCCATCCACACATGCTATAGGCCTCACATTTAGTTCTCCAGCACTTTCACTTTGACTGTTTCTTCACTTGTAAGTGAAGGATTTCAAGGCCACTTTTTCCACCCAGAGGAATCAAAACATGATAAAAACTATTTTTTAACTATAACCTGGCTAACAACAGACTTACATGTTTGTCATTGAGTTTTACACTGGAACAACTTCCTGAAAGTGATTGGGAAAAAGGCGGAGAATTGGAATGTTGTGAATCTGATCGGTCGAAACATCATTGTAGTAGAAACCAGAACGACGTCTGTACGAAATGCCTGTACATAAAGTACTCCAGAGGAAAGCCTGTACATAAAGTACTCCAGAGGAAAGCCTGTACATAAAGTACTCCAGAGGAAAGCCTGTACATAAAGTACTCCAGAGGAAAGCCTGTACATAAAGTACTCCAGAGGAAAGCCTGTACATAAAGTACTTCTGAAGAAAAGCCTGTTGCATACCTCTTAACAGTCTGTCTGTAATATTTCAGGTGTAAGTAAGGTGAAATTGTCTCTAGACCTTTTGATTCTTAGTTCTTTTGATTCTTGGTCTTGTGCTGTGGCTCAGGAGTAGATGAGATCCAAACTTGTATGTTGCTATGGAAATGAGTCCATCACTCCGTTGCCATGGAGATGGGCCTAACAAATGGGTGTCTCTGGGGCGTCTGGGAACCATCTGAACCTGGGTCAAGTGTGAGACGCTCTGCTGGTAATAAAAGAGGATTTATGGACACGTGGAATATTTCTCTGCCTATTCTAATGAAACTCTTAACACTTGTGAGCAGCTCTTTTGTGATTGGCTGATTAGGGAGAAAAGGCTGGTGGAACATGGTCACGGTTGTAATGACAGGGCCTAAAAGTGGAAAACGTGGCTACAACCTGCCTGTAACAGCTCATTCTGATTTGGACAAATATCTAAGAACATAATACTGCTCTACTCTAAAACCTCTTCAGGCATGTTTTTGATGTTTTTGATGAGGAACAGTGTTATAACATGGTAGAAATCCACCCTCAATTCCTAATATGGAACTCTATTCCATATTCGCCCTGTCACCACAGCATCATGAGCGAGCCATTTGGGAGCCCTCACTATAAAGCACTATTGATGATATGATTTCAAATCAGGGTCAGGCTGACTTGTCCATTCTAACGTGAAAAGGGGGATGTTTTGACACTTAAAATAGATCTGACAATCAGATACTATTTTGATTTTCTTGTTTAAAAGTAAACTCTCATTTAATGTCATATTGAGAGAAAATCAAATAGCTCTGAGGCCATTAGTGGCACTGAGGGCAAATGGGTGGGGGCCCCTCCAGGTTCAGGGGCCCTAGGCGGCTGTCTATTGTTGCCTAATGGTTGCGCCGCCTCTGATAATTGATCATTAAGAATTTAGTCGATCACGTTCATTTTTAATCAACAAATTGAATGTAGGTTGCTGTGTGTAGTTTAAGGAGACGACACTGTGTCTGACACAAACACTGGAGTTGTGGACTCACAGTCCCACGTTTGGGCTCTGTACCACTCAGTAAGTGCTGACCACATCAGCGCACAAGGAAAGAACAGATTTTTTAGTGCTTATAGTTTATGCCACTGAGCCATATGGTTTAGTTTAGTTTCTGTGAAACGTAAACAAATGTGTCAAAGCTGCGTTAAACACATGATAATGTCAAACGGGCTGATGTGGCTCTGTAGTGGTGATGGTTTATATGTTGTAAAATTGAGTTTATTTATGCAGATTAGTAATAGTAATAATAATGACGATCATTTTAATGTAAAATGTTAATGATTAATCGAAAATCAATCATTAATTCTCCCGACACTTGATTAAGGAAATTTAATCGAATGCCCATCCCAACTTTAAACTGTGGTAGAAGAGCTTCCTGAATAATACAAAACATCTCCTTAGTTTCCTCTGTTCGTCTGAGTCGTGTGTGAGGGACAGTGCTGGAGCAGGTGCAGTCCTGCGCCCTCTACTGGTTGTCCTTCTCTCTGTAGTACAGTGTGGATCTTCATGGGCTCTCCTCCTCTCTTTACCCCTCTGTGCTTTATCCAGCCAGTTTTGTGATCTTTTTTCTTTTTCCTGGAAACGCTTTTTGGCAGAGCACGGTCTCCATGGCGACGGCTGCGTCTTTGTTGGAGCTCAGTGGAGACAAAACACTGGAGCCTGGACATCAGCACAGCCTGGCACGACTCAGACCACTCTCTGTGCCCACTGTGTGCAGACGGCAGCGACAACTAGGCCATACACAGCACAATCTAGTTCTGGTTTAGTCCTGGTTTAGTCCTAGTTTAGGTTTAGTTTAGTTCTGGTTTAGTCCTAGTTTAGGTTTGGTTTAGTCCAGGTTTAGTCCAGTGTTTAGTTCTGTGTTTAGTCCTGGACTCTGGTTTTGTCCTGGTTCAATCAGCTCTGATGTAGCCTGTACCTGAGACATTAGTCCTGGTTTAGACTGGTATTGCTCCAATTGTGTTTTGACATATTTCTTGTTTGGATGTGGTTTGCACTTAGTCAAGTGTTTCTTAAGTTTAGACTGATTTAGTTCCAATTTCCTGATTTAGACATGGTTTACTTCTACTTAAATCCTGGTTTAGTCCTAATATGGATTTAGTGTTGCTTGATTTATTCAACATGTGTAGTTTAACCTGGTTTAGCCTAATTTTAGACCAGATTTAGTCCTGGTTCAGTCCTGGTTCAGTCCTTTACAATAGCAGTTGTATAGTGCAGCGTCTGATGAGAATGGGGACTAAAATAGAAGGACATAATCTATAAAAAGAGCCCATGTACAGAGTTCTGATGGCCCTTGGTGTGTCTGCTTCATAAGCACTGCTACAAAGGCTCGACTTTTATTATGCTTATTCTGCATAAAAACGTAACTAACCCTGGTGTTTAGATCTGTACAAACATGTTCTGAAATGTGATTCGTGGTCAGATTTAATTTTTTCTTCTGGACATGTTTGAAATGTGAACTTTGAACAGAATCATATTATGAAATTATAATTTTATGGCTTTTATGTTGACTATGTATGACAGGAATGTAATTGTCGGTGATTTTCACATGCATGTTTGTTGTCCTTTAAAGCCCAAGGCAAAGGGAATTTTTAGATTTAGTTGATGGTTTTAATTTGACACAACATGTCACTGGTCCTACACAGACCACAGACACACTTTAGACCTTGTACTGTCTTATGGTCTTCCTCTGGACAGTATCTTTGTTGGTGATGTTGTATTCTCTGACCATAGTCCTGTTATGTTTGATTTTAAGATGCACAGTGACATGAGACTGCCTGGTCATGTGCACCAGAGTCACTCTATAAAGCCGGAAACTGCTGTTAACTTTCCCCCTCTTTTTATGGAATCTGGTGACCTGGGTACGTCCGTGAGTACTGAGGAATTAAACTCGACCTGCTGTGTTGTATTGGACATTGTTGCTCCACTGAAAATCCTAAACCCAGATAAGAGCCACGGCTCAATGAAGCGACATGCGCAAGTGCCGTAGAGCAGAGCAAAGGTGGAAAAGTGGTCACTTGGAAGTATCTTACCAAATACTTAAAGACTGCTGACAGTCTATCAAAACACTGTTAAGAGTGAAAAAAATGAAATATTTCTCAGATCTGATTTTAGAAAATGTCAATAAATCTCATATTCTTTTTAAAACAATTGGTTCTGTGTGTAACCCCAGTCCATCCAGCACTTTGGAAATGAGATGTGTGAACTTTTATTCTTTTACAATAAAGTTGCTGCTATTAGAGCCAGTGTATCTTCACTTGCGTCTACTTTTAACATTGGCCTAACTGCACAGTGCTCTGCTGTTTTTAGTCAGTTTGAGCCTGTGTCACTGTGTGTGCTCACAGGGATAGTTCACAAATTAAAACCTGCCCCACGGTCCCAACTCGCTTATGTTAAGGAGAGCATAATTAGAGCCTGACCGATATATCGGTTGGCCGATATGCTTGCTGATAGAGGCCGATATTTCACGTAGGCATGTTATACCACGTTATAAATCTTAGACTCTCTACATTATGTTAATTTAATCCAATTTACAGACAGATAAATGTCCAAATATGTGGCTGTGCATCAGTATTTATCTACGGAGTCATTTGTCAGTGTGTGCGTCTGTACTGTACCTGAACACACCCCCAGAGTCACATGCGTTTGTTTACACCCGCCGACATAGATCCATGTGCAACACTGAGATTATCTTCTTTTTACGATCAATCGGTTTGAGTCTGGATTAAAAGGACATTTATTAGTGCAGACTTGTGATGTGGGAGGAGCCTGTGTGAGCGCTGAGTGTTGGAAATATGTCGACTTTGAAGCTAGTTTTGGTTCCTTCTGATAGGTAAGTGATTAGCTGCTGTAGCTCTCACACATAAACAGGCTGTTTTCTATTGGTCTATTGTAAAGAGACTGTATTGGCTGTATATTTGTTACTGGACCTGCATTGACATGTAAATGAGCTGTGAATAGACGTGTGAATGATGAAATTTGTGCATATAATTAACTACCGCGGCGCGCAGCATTTACGGCTAAAGGCTAATAGCGATTGTTTATTTACTCATGAGTAGTGATGAGTCGGTCGCGAACGAAGCGGCTCTTAGAGCCGGCTCTTTGAAGTGAACGACGGGAGCCTGATCCTTACTGGGATTGGGAGCCGTGTTTTTTCTTTCTCTCACATTTTTCTCTTTACGCCGCATGCAGGCTTGTGGTAGTTTGACAGCGGCAGCGGCTAAAAACGAAACTTTCAAAAATCTGCATGTGCATAGGATAAAAAAAAACGTGCATATATATATATTCAGCATAAAATAAATAAACCAGGACTAATCTTGGGGTCGAGAGAGATGGAGACCGAGTCCCAACACTCAGTCCTAAGTTCTGGTTTAGTCCTGTTTTACACATGGTTTAGATCTGTTTTAGACCTGCTTTAGTCCTATGACATATCATGTAAAGAGTCAGAATAACAATAAATGTTGCCTAAATAAACCCAATTTAAAATCCACTAGAGCCAAACCTAAGTTTTTTTTTTAATAATTCAAGCTTTACAGTGAATTTTTACATCACTAAATATATCGGCTATCGGCAGCACCAACTCCCATTATATCGGTATCATATCGGCCACAACAAAATCCATATCAGTCGGGCTCTAATCATAACAGCAGTTTTTCTTCTAACATAGTCCCTTCTTTTTGTCAAATGGCTGTTGTTGAACCACTGATCAAGAAACCTGGCCTCGACCCTACAATTTTGTCTAATTATCGGCCAATTTCCAAACTTTCTTTTGTGGCCACGGTTTTGGAGAAAAGCGTTATTGCATAGCTGCAGCCTTTTTTAGATGCAAATATCACTTGAGTGAGTCTGCACTTTTAAAAGGTTTAATGACCTGCTTTTAATGACTGATTCTGGTGACTGGCTTAGGTCAGACCTGTCTGGGCGGTCCTTCACTGTACACCTGGGGGACTCATCCTCTCCTCCTTTGGACAGTGGAGTTCCCCAGGGTTCAATTCTTGGCCCATTACTATTTGTCTTGTACCTCCTCCCTCTTGGTGAGATTTTTAAATCGTGGCTTGTTATATAATTTTTATGCTGATGACAAATTTATCACAGCCAGTTATTAAAGGTAATCATAGCAGCCCCCTGACACCTCTTATTGACTGTATAAGGGACATCAAGGTTTGGTTGGCTCAATTTTTTTTTTTTTAATTGAATGAAGGAGGTTATATTGTTTGGATCTGGTATCTCTCTTGTTGATGTGGGATTGTTAAAAGATCATCTCTGTCCCGCAGCCTCAGTTTCACCCTAGACGGTGATTTTAAATTTGACAAACTGTGTCTTAAAATCAAGTTTTTATCATTTGCGGTCTTCATCCAAAGTTAAACCTTTTTTTCAACAGGTTGTGTGCTTTTATTTTGTCACGTCTGGGTGACTGCAACCCACTTTACAGGGGCATCTCTCAAAACTCACTTCCCCGTCCAGAACTCCACGGCACAACTTTTAACAGCAACCAAAAAACAAGAACATATGTGTGTCTTTGCACTGAATTCATGTTCGATTTAGAATTGATTTTAAGATTTAATCGTTTGTTTTTAAAGCTTTGAATGGACTGGCCCCACAATACATCTCAGACCTCATCCAGATTTACTCCCCCACTCGCGCTCTGTGGCACACAGTGGAGAGTTTTAAGTCTCGTCTTAAGACCCACTTTTACGATCTGGCTTGGGCATTTTTAGCTTTATGCATTTTAACACTTTTTAAAAATTGTTTTTATTTATGATTTACTGTCTTTTATTGTAGTAATGTGTCTGTGTAGCACTTTGGAAACTGTCATGTTTATAAAATGTGCTATAGAAATAAAGTGGATTGGATTAAATCACAGTCACAATGCTCATCATTTTTGTTTTACAAAAATCCTTCAGCCCTGCCTCTGGTCCTGTGCCACTGGGTTTGGTTACTGTGAGGTTGCTGCTATTGTTTCTCTGAGCAAGACACTGTGACATTAACGTGGCTGCTGTAACAGGAACAGCGTCTGGTGTAAAAATCTACCAAATCACATTGACTAGTGTTTTATGAAACATGAGGGGGACTGTGTAACAGCCACCAGTCTCCTCCATAGAGACGTTACTACTTCCACAGTTTGGCATTAAATGTGTCCATCTCCAAGGATGGAATGTAGGGATGTAACAATATCCAAATCTCTCAATGTTCAAAACCTGTTGCTACTATAAAACCTGCATTTAAACAAAGCATCTTGTAATTCGATGTAATTCGATATATTGTGACCCTTCATGGTGTTATTGTGAAACTTCTGACGATACGACATCATGATATTTCAGTTATTGTTACATCCCTAATGTAATGTCATACTGAGACGAGCAGATGATGTCACCAGCACAACGTACAGGTCAGATCTGTGGAGAGGCAACCTCACCAGTAAAAATGCAGCTTTTTCAAATCTTATTGATCAGTTATTCACAAACGTGACATGTAGAGTTTTAGAGTGCAGAAATCAAATCACATGTTTTTTGCGCTGAAAGTGTAAACAGTCCTTAGCCTCCTAATGTAACTGTCTCCATGGAGACTTTTCCAGAGTATGGCTTTAACTTTCTATTATTTATGGAATCTGCAGGTGATCTGCCAACTCAGGAAAGTGACATATTGTTGCTTTAATACACGCAGGTTAGATTAGTGCCATGAATACTGTTTAATGCCATACTGTGGAATATTGTAGGCAAAGAAATGGCTTCTCCACAAAGACAAGCAGGTGATACATCCTTCATCAGAAAAGTGCCACAATGCACCTTTACAGAAGTCCAGTGTCAGCTGCAGCCGGACTCTGAACAAACAAACTTGTGTTTGTGTTTTACAGAGTGATCGAGACCGACCGCATCAACATCATCGCGGTGAGTCCAAACACCTTCTCACTCTGAGTGCTTAGGGGTTCCACCCCCTTCCATACACATACATACTGACATTGTTTCCTTGAGCAAGACACTTCACTAGCCTATGGCTTGTAAAAGTCATACAAATTGCCATCTTTAGATCTCAAAAAAACAGCAAGTTTACTGATTCAGAACAGGTGAAAGCTTGTGTGAGGAGATGTAGCTTTGACACCCACTGACTTCCTGTTTCCCATGATGCCACAGGAGAAGAGGAAATGGCAGATGGAGGTAGAGAATAAGAGACGGCAGCTGGAAGATGACAAGAGAGCTCTGCAGCACCTCAAGGTACAACTCCACTCTGTCACACAGTCACAACCTGAAGCCCAAGCCCTTTACCTGGATGTCACTGGTCTAGTGTCAAAGCACTGGTGGAGAGTAAATGTCTCTGGAGCAACACCAGGCTCCAGCACTGAGCAGCCGCTTCTCATCTGCTCAAAGCTCTTGTCCACATGTACTCCAAAACCTCATTCTAATCTCATGTCTGGACTTTTAAAGTTTTTATTTTACTCAAAGACATACACTTACTCTTGTGAGCTTTAAGTCATGTCTTAATGCTGTTATCTCCTCAAAAACAGACCTGGAGTTGATTTTGTTTCATTCTTGTTTATTATTAGTTTCTCTGCACCTCCTAATGCTCTGCTCCACCTTGTGATGTCATGTAGTGGTAATTTTCATGTTAACAGCTCCTTTTACCTTTAGTTCAGGGATGAAATTATCCAAACGATTCTAGTGAAGGTGTGTGGAGACATCACGAGGTGGAGCAGAGTGTTTTTTGTTTGAGAGAAGAACTTGTGCTAAATGTGCAGAGTTTGTGACAGGTTTGACTCAGAGGTGGTGGTTGAAGGATGTTTAGCCGCTGCGTTCCAAATAGGAAGTGACCGTAGCCACACTTCCAAAACCATTGCCCCTCTCTGTGTTACTGCTGCCGTGAGCCTCAACATTTTGGTCTTAAAATCAGGTATGAAAACCCCTCACCTTTTGGCAAAATTTGCCATTTTGAAGCCAAAACAGTTGACCTACATGAATTTTGTAGATTCAATGAGAAAAGTTTTAGGTCTCGTCTCGGACTCAAGCACATTTGACTCGGTCTTACTCAGACTCGAGGTCTGACACTCGTCGAGTGCTATTATATATCATTACTGCTGATGTTGTTGGCAGTAAACATGTACCAGTGTGCGGGAGTGTGCGGGAGTGTGCGGGAGTGTGCGGGAGTGTGCGGGAGTGTGCGGGAGTGAGCGGGAGTGTGCGGGAGTGTGCGGGAGTGTGCGGGAGTGTGCGGGAGTGAGCGGGAGTGTGCGGGAGTGAGCGGGAGTGTGCGGGAGTGAGCGGGAGTGAGCGGAGTGTGCGGGAGTGTGCGGGAGTGTGCGGGAGTGAGTGGGAGTGTGCGGGAGTGTGCGGAGTGTGCGGAGTGTGCGGAGTGAGCGGAGTGTGCGGGAGTGTGCGGGAGTGAGCGGGAGTGAGTGGGAGTGAGCGGGAGTGAGTGGGAGTGTGCGGGAGTGTGCAGGAGCGCGGGGGTTCTCACTGCAGCCCGTGTGTCACCTGGAGCCTGCGGACATTGCGTGACACATCACAAACACACACACCCCAGTGCACTGCTTGTCCACAACAGTGTGTGTCCTTGTGTACTAGTGTGTTCACAGAGCAGGTTAAACTTTTTAAAACATCCTACCTGTCCATCTGCCTCACGTCAGCGCGCTGTTCCTCGCCTTTTCACGCTCTCGCTCCTCCCGTGTACAGCACACATTGGCTCAGTCGCGATGATTAGAAGAGCAAGATGAAACGCAAAACAAAAGCAATGTTAATTTATGCTACTATGTTGTCACAGCAGGCCTACTGAAGTTTGCTTAATAAAATGGCAAATAAATCTGTTTTTGTTTCAATGTGCGTTTGTTTTGCTAAATATGCGGAGGCTGGTAAATACCTCTGTAAAACCAGTAAAAGAAAAAGAGAAAAATCCCACCCACTTTATTCACTTTTTTCACAGTTTTGTGTAAAGTACCAGTGGAAGTTCTCTTAAAGAAGGGGTTTTCAAACTGTGGGTGAGGGTCCAAAAAAGGTGTGCAGAGTGTTTCAGTGCAGTACAGTTTACCTTTGCCTTATTTTAGGGCTAAATGAACATCAGTCAGATCAAAAGGAGATAGAGCTACAAAAGCATTGATATATATGTGCCAAAATAACTGTAAAATACAAATCAATGTAGAAAATGACAAAGATGGTCTTGACTTGGTCTCGAGAGGCCATGGTCCCTAGGTTCTGTAGTGGTCTAGGTAGGTTCCATAGTGGTTTAAGTTAGTTTCCTCAGTGGTCCATGGGCGTATACATAGTTGTATATGATTTTTGATACTTTTGACGACACTATTTGTCTGTATATTTTATTGATATATTTCTAAAGGAGGTGCCTTTTTCTCATAGATGGCGAATCTAATGTAATCTGTTCAGTGTAAGATTAGGCTGAGGAACATGGGGAACACAAGACCCAGTATCTCACCTGACTATTATTGTTTTAGTTAAGCAGAAAGCTCTGTTCCTGGGACCATCTCAGACAGACAGTTGTTTTTCTCTCCTGGTGCGACATTACTGTGGTCTTCCATTGCTACTGTTGACTCCATGACCTTTGCATCTTCATTTTGTAACCACACTGAAGACTCATGTATTTAAACACCTGTTGTATTCTTCTCAAAGCAGTCCCTTCGTCTGTGATGGGGTGCGGTCACTAAGAGCTCCGAGTCATTACCCAGGATTCAATGGGGCTCTGGGGAGATGACATGAGCACTAATGTATCACTGATACTGTCAATGTGAAGAGGGAGAGGAGGGGCTGGAGAAGAGAGAGAAACATACAATCCAACCATCTGAACAGAGAGAGAGAGAGAGAGATGGGGGGTCATGTTATATGGACACACTCATGCAGTAATTCAAGCCTGGTATTTCTGTTTAAATCTCATTCTTTTTATTGATCTTATTTAATATTAGGGGTGTAACGACATGTAAGTCTCACGATATGATATTGTCCCAGTATGGACCTCACGGTATGATATTTATTGCAATATCGTTGGAAAGCTCACGATATCCAAATCAATATCCAAATCTTTTGGCATGATATTTTCACGATATACATCTCAGGGTACGATATTTATTGCCGTATTTTGTTGAGGCTAACAAAACTGCTACTTTTCATCTTAAAATGCCTTGACAAGATTTAACTTATTTCTTCTTATAGTCTGCACTGAAACGGAGCAAAGGATCATGGTCTATGTAGTTGCCTCTGTCTTTTTTTAGTTATTGCTGCATCATAACTCTTCATTTAAGAAAGAGACTTGTAGTTCGATATATTGTGATGGTCCACGATATTATTGTGAGAACTTTGACTATACGATATCACGATATTTCAGTTATTGTTTACATCCCTATTTAATATTCTAATTTTATGAGACAGAATTATTATTTTTTCATGATCTATAAGCCATAGTCATACAAATTCAAGAAATAAACCCTAGAAATATTTCACTGTGTGTCATGAGGCTGCATAATGGATGGATTTGACTTTCTGAAATGAGAAACACAACAAAAACACAATCCTTTTTATGATATTAAAATTTTTTACACTGGACTAGTACTCCAAAATGAGCCCTTCTTGCAGGTTTCAGATGATCAGAGCGTTCTATCAGCCAGTATTATTTAGTACAGTACAGTTAAAATGTAAGTTTTTGTTGTAACAACAAGTTGATGGGTTTAGTCACTGGTAGAAAATACATCACATTACATTGATGTAGAGATGTAACGATATCCAAATCTCTCTGTACGATATTATCACGATATACACCTCATGGTACAATATTTATTGTGATATTTTGAAGAGGCTGATATAATTGTAGATAGGACACTTTTTTGCTTTTAAAATACCCTGACAGGATTTTGGTGTGAATTATTTCTGTCATAATTCCAAAAATTGTTCAAGTTGTCTGCACTGAAATGAATCATGGGATTTGTAGTTTCTGATGTTCATAAGCTGTTGCTTCTATAAAACCTGATACGATATCACAATATTTCAGTTATTGTTACATCCCTACATTAAATATTTGTGAATACACTTTTTGACTATTTCATGATAAAGTATAATGTTATTAATAGGGGAAATGTGTCTCTTGTCCCATCTGGGAGTATGGCACCATCATTCTAGAACGTGAAAAAGAGAATGTTCTGGAGCTCTGTCAGAACTACTATAAGACCCCATGGAAATCCTGTTACTGTGTATTGAAAATGTTGTTCATAATCCGTATTAGTATAAGTATATTTTATGATAAATTATTTTGGTATGAAATTGTTATTGAGTATTGACAGAAGTGGTCGAGTAGCCAAAGCCTGTACTCAAGTAACATTAACGTTACTTTAAAATAATATTACTCAAGTAGAAGAACAAAGTACAGTAGTGGTTCAAGAAATGTATCAAGTAAGAGTAAAAAAGTATTTGAGAAAATTACTACTCAATTAAGAGTAACTTAAAGGTGCACTGTGTACCTTTTTGGTTGGGATTGCGTCACCTGCTTATTTCTATGGAGATGTTTTTTCTCTGTCTGTAATGTTCCACAATGTGACTTTAAACATCTCTACTTTACATTTATTCAATTACAGGTGATTTTACAGCTGTAAACTACCTATAAAAACTGTTATTGTGCCTGCCTCTCCTCGACAGACTCTATATCAGGGTTGGGTTACAGGATCCCGCGGTATCAAAAAGTTGCAATGATATCAGTTTCATTACCATCATTAAAAAATCTGCAGTGCATAAGGACCTGATATAATATTATAATTTATTGATACATAAATTAGTTTGCTCAGCACAAATGAATGTGTGGTTGTATTTTCAATTTAATGTTATATCAATTTATGTTATTGTCACGATTTAAAACTAATAGTGTGTGTAAAATGTTTCTTGGGGAGATGACGTTCGATTAGTTTCGTTCCATTGTCACATGACGCTCATAAGGGAGACTAAGACAAGATGGCAAGTCCGACCTCAAGAGAGTTGGTCCCAAACAAAATACTAATACTTCTGCAATTGGCAGCATTTTGGCCTCAGGCCACATTTATTTACCTTTTACAGAAATGAAACTTAAAGCCACATGTCTTATTTGCATAAATTATAAAGTGCTGATAAAAACAGCTCGCTCCGTGTGCGCTGATGCAGTTCAGCTTCTGTCGGACTCAGTGGAATATGAATGTTCTCTCTGTGACAGAGGATGTGCTGCTGATGGTGAATCTGTTCTGTGCGTGTGTTGCATTGGAGATGGTTTTCATGTGAAACTTTTCAGGGATTATAAATCTGCAGGTCATACGTACAGACTTTCATAGCTTATGAAAGTGGTACTAAAACATTTTGGTAATACAGTATTACAGCCGACCGCTGTGAGTGACATCACACTCACTCACTCCACTTCTTTATATAGTCTATGTCAGGGGTGGGCAAACTACGGCCCGGGGGCCGTATGCGGCCCTTTAAACCTTTTAATCCGGCCCACCGAACCGGAATAAATTACAATAATAAACCTTGTTGATGTTTTATTTGTCATGCATTTCCAGCGTTTCCCAGTAGATGGCACACTATATATACATTGAGTTGCGGCGTATTATGTTGGCCGCAATGCTTTATGGGAAAGTGTTCTTACAGGAGTTATTCGGACCATGAGTGAAGTAGTTGGTGCTTAAGATATAAGACTGCACTGCTTCCATTTTGAGTTGTCTAAAATCAATCAAGGAAACCAGTGGTCTCTGAGTTGTAATTATACATGTGTACAACATTTTGGAGGCAGGTTTTATCACACTCACAGGTGTATATCTGTGGTTGTTTGGTGTGAGCTTTGTTTTAGAGCTGTTACCTGTCATATTCGGAAACGATGAACTCACCATATACATTCACTTGTGGTGTGCAGTGGAACAGGTCTCAACAGTTTTATGTGTTCTGAATGTTTCACAGCAGTGATGAAACATGTTGACCGCGTCTGAAGTCCTAGATAAATGTGAATAAGAACGTAATGAATCTGAGCTCTTAACACGGTATGTACTGTCTTCTGTCCGGCCCTTCAGTCAAACTTTAGGACCCTATGTGGCCCGCGAGCCAGACCCCTGGTCTATGTTCTCCACAGATCTGACCTGTAACTGGGTCTGGTCTCCATGATGGTAGAAAGGTTTAATGTCATACTGCGAAGGCTTCCACACAAAGCATCACATCTCCATGGAGAAAAGTTACACATTGCACCTTTAAAGAGTAACTGTCATAATGTAACATTGGATTTATAATTTGACAGTAATGATATGTTCAAAGGACAGATACAAAATGAGACAAACTAAATCCTCTCCGGAGGAGCTGCAAGAAACAAATGTTCAAATCATTTCAGATTGTCACATAAAACTTTTGTCACTTTAGACTCATACTCACAGTGGGAAGAGGAAGCACAACTTTTACTCAAGTAAGAGTACTGTTACTTAGGAGTAAAGGTATGCTGCTGGAAAAATACAGAGTATTAGCAACTTCGGAGTCTGGAGCCTATTTGTGTTTGAAATGTGAGTGTGGTGAGAAGAGAGAGGAGCAGAGGCGTCAGTGTGCAGGGCATGTGCGGCACACACGCACACACACACACTCACACACACACACACACACACACACACACACACACACACACACACACACACACACACACACACACACACACACATACACACATATGCACACACACACACACTCTTACACAGGCACACACAGACAGACAGACACACACAGACACCCCCCCCCCACACACACACACACACGCACACACATCACACACACAGCAGCTACACTCTCACAATATCCACACACACATCACACTTACATCAGATGCCCTGTACTGCACATGTTACTCATTTATTCTTTCATCTCTTTCACCTGGATCACTTTGTTTGTGTAAAGCTGACCCCTGACCTCTGACCTCTGACCTTGACCCTGACCCTGCACTTGCTCCTGCAGCCCTGCCCTCCTCTGTCTGCACATAACACAGTATTTTTACTCCCTCCACCACAGCTGTCTGTTCTCACACACATGCCCCCCTCTCATGCCCACACCCATGCCCACGTCTCCCTCTACCACACACACACAGGGCATGTGAGCAGGGATGGAGCGCCCACCACAGGGGGCACGGGGAACTGCGGAGAAAGTGTGTGCAGCCTGATAGGAAACAAACAGATTAACGGACATTTCACTCCCACATAGTTAACATAGTGGTCATAGTTCACATTTGACCTCAGACGTGGCCTTACTTTCCCTAGTTTTACAATTGTGGTGAAGTTTATTATTTTACTTCTGGGTTCTAAAAAGAGATACACATTTTTGCTAATGAAGGTTTTAACTGTCACTAATAGAAGCCTTTGTCGGGAGTGAACTTTCTGCATTGTGTGTATTAATGGCATAGGTGGATGGATTCTGTTTCAGAAATTCTTCAGAACCTGTATTTTTCAACTTTTTATCCATAAACTTCCACCTAAAGGCAAGAGTGTAGGTTTGATCTCAGCTTTGGTGGGGACATTATCAGCCCTCAACATGAAACCAGCTGATTGTTCTTGTCACTTGTACTTGTTGGTTGCTTTAGTGGATCACAGTGATGTAGAAGTTTGTAGCAGATTTCTCTTTGCTTGTTGGTGGTGAGATATTTGTGAGGTCATGTCCGTACATTTTTCCATGGGATATTGTCAGTAGAGTCGGGGTCACAGAGCACGAGTAGAGCTCTGTTTGGGAGGTGCACTTGTGGAGATAGTCTCTCTTTTTTTGCAGTGACTCTTTGTAAGACAAGTTTCATTGAAGATCAAGACAAGTAAGTTCCTTTTGAAAAGTTTCACAAAGTTTGGTGCAGCGTCTTCACTCACACCTGCTCAAGCCGACATCTTGGTGCGGCCCTGTCCTGCCGCTTCCCCAGTTTAGGCTCCTGGCTCCACTAATGACATCACTCTGTTACAGCCAATGAAACAGCGGCAGTATCACTGAATACATCTCAGAACATTTAATAAACAAAATGTGAACTAAAACCTGTTCAGTTAATACTACTGAGTTTGGAAAAATATCAGAATAAGTTAATATTTTTGTTTATTAAAATAAAATGTCAAATATTGGTAGGGACCATTTTGTCTTCCTCAGATATTATTGTGACATGTCCCCACTGTCCCTGTGCAAACATACAGCTTGCCTAAAGGTACAGTGTGTAAGCACCTGCAGGATTGCTTGGAAACAAGTTAAAACCATACTTCGGTACATTCTCTTCGGAGATTTCTCCATTGGAGAAATAAGTTTTAAATCCAAATCCACTTTATTTCTTTAGCACATTTTACAAACAAAGCAGTTTCCAAAGTGCTGCACAGTGATTATAAAATGAACACAATAAAACCAGTAAAATTAAAATAAAAACAAAAACATAAAAATCATAAAATAGCAGTAAATAAGTAAAATAAATAAAATAAAATAAATGAAAAAAAATAAAAGACAAAGCGGAGCATACAACTCGTGCAATGTTAAACGTGGGTTTTAAGACTTAAAACTCAAGACTGTGGAGCATTTTATATCAAACTGTGGAGGATTATAGCCAAAGGCACAACATTTCCATGAAAACTCCTCCAGGCCAAATAAGAGTCAGGTTTGTGGAGAGGCAAGCCCACTCAGAGTAATGGCTAAAAGTTACATATTGTAGCTTTAACTCATGAACTATGATCAATATTTAGCACAGGTGCTATCCCACCAAACCATATACATGCATACATCTGCACTTCTTTCACTGATAGTTGAAAATGTTTTTGTTTGTTTGTTTGCAGTCCAAAGCTCTGAGGGAGCGGTGGCTGCTGGACGGAGCGCCCTCCTCTGGACCGGAACATGATGAGGTGAAGAGACAGCTCCAGCAAGACGAGAACAAGACCAGAGACCTGGAGGACAACATCAACAGGTCCTCCTCTGCTCCATCTGACCTCCTCCTCTGCTCCATCTGACCCTCTGCTCCATCTGACCTCCTCTAACGCTCTCTTCTGTTCCTCTAACGCTCTCTTCTGCTCCTCTAACGCTCTCTTCTGCTCCTCTAACGCTCTCTCTGCTCCTCTAACGCTCTCTTCTGCTCCTCTAACGCTCTCTTCTGCTCCTCTAACGCTCTCTTCTGCTCCTCTAACGCTCTCTTCTGCTCCTCTAACGCTCTCTTCTCCTCCTCTAACGCTCTCTTCTCCTCCTCTAACGCTCTCTTCTGTTCCTCTAACGCTCTCTTCTCTCCTCTAACGCTCTTCTGTTCCTCTAACGCTCTCTTCTCCTCCTCTAACGCTCTCTTCTGTTCCTCTAACGCTCTCTTCTGTCTCTCTCTCCTCTAACGCTCTCTTCTGCTCCTCTAACGCTGTTCCTCTAACGCTCTCTTCTGCTCCTCTAACGCTCTCTTCTCCTCCTCTAACGCTCTCTTCTCCTCCTCTAACGCTCTTCTGTTCCTCTAACGCTCTTCTGTTCCTCTAACGCTCTCTTCTGCTCCTCTAACGCTCTCTTCTGCTCCTCTAACGCTCTCTTCTGCTCCTCTAACGCTCTTCTGTTCCTCTAACGCTCTTCTGTTCCTCTAACGCTCTCTTCTGTTCCTCTAACGCTCTCTTCTGCTCCTCTAACGCTCTCTTCTCCTCCTCTAACGCTCTCTTCTAACGCTCTCTCTCCTCTAACGCTCTCTTCTGTTCCTCTAACGCTCTCTTCTGTTCCTCTAACGCTCTCTTCTGTTCCTCTAACGCTCTCTTCTGCTCCTCTAACGCTCTCTTCTCCTCCTCTAACGCTCTCTTCTGTTCCTCTAACGCTCTCTTCTCCTCCTCTAACGCTCTCTTCTGTTCCTCTAACGCTCTTTTCTCCTCTAACGCTCTTCTGTTCCTCTAACGCTCTCTTCTCCTCCTCTAACGCTCTCTTCTGTTCCTCTAACGCTCTCTTCTGCTCCTCTAACGCTCTCTTCTCTGTTCCTCTAACGCTCTCTTCTCCTCCTCTAACGCTCTCTTCTGTTCCTCTAACGCTCTTCTGTTCCTCTAACGCTCTTCTGCTCCTCTAACGCTCTTCTCCTCCTCTAACGCTCTCTTCTCCTCCTCTAACGCTCTCTTCTCCTCCTCTAACGCTCTCTTCTCCTCCTCTAACGCTCTCTTCTCCTCCTCTAACGCTCTTCTGTTCCTCTAACGCTCTCTTCTGCTCCTCTAACGCTCTCTTCTGTTCCTCTAACGCTCTCTTCTGCTCCTCTAACGCTCTTCTGTTCCTCTAACGCTCTCTCTGTTCCTCTAACGCTCTTCTTCTCCTCTCTAACGCTCTCTTCTCCTCTCCTCTAACGCTCTCTTCTGTTCCTCTAACGCTCTCTTCTGCTCCTCTAACGCTCTCTTCTGCTCCTCTAACGCTCTCTTCTGTTCCTCTAACGCTCTCTTCTCCTCCTCTAACGCTCTTCTGTTCCTCTAACGCTCTCTTCTGCTCCTCTAACGCTCTCTTCTGTTCCTCTAACGCTCTCTTCTCCTCCTCTAACGCTCTCTTCTGTTCCTCTAACGCTCTCTTCTCCTCCTCTAACGCTCTTCTGTTCCTCTAACGCTCTCTCTCCTCTAACGTCTTTCCTCTAACGCTCTTCTGTTCCTCTAACGCTCTCTCCTCTAACGCTCTCCTCCTCTAACGCTCTCTCTCTCTCTTCTCCTCTAACGCTCTCTTCTGTTCCTCTAACGCTCTCTCTCTCCTCCTCTAACTCCTCTAACGCTCTCTTCTGTTCCTCTAACGCTCTCTCTCTCCTCCTCTAACGCTCTTCTGTTCCTCTAACGCTCTTCTCTCCTCTAACGCTCTTCTTCCTCTAACGCTCTCTCCTCTAACGCTCTTCCTCTAACGCTCTCTTCTGTTCCTCTAACGCTCTCTTCTGTTCTCTCTAACGCTCTCTTCTCCTCCTCTAACGCTCTCTTCTGCTCCTCTAACGCTCTCTTCTGCTCCTCTAACGCTCTCTTCTGCTCCTCTAACGCTCTCTCTCTCTCTCCTCTAACGCTCTCTTCTGCTCCTCTAACGCTCTCTCCTCTCTGTTCCTCTAACGCCTCTCTCCTCTAACGCTCTCTCTCTCCTCTCTAACGCTCTCTTCTCCTCCTCTAACGCTCTTCTGCTCCTCTAACTCTTCTCTCCTCTACGCTCTCTTCTCCTCCTCTAACGCTCTCTTCTCTCCTCTAACGCTCTCTCTTCTGCTCCTCTAACGCTCTCTCTCTCTCCTCCTCTAACGCTCTTCTTTCTGCTCCTCTAACGCTCTCTTCTGTTCCTCTAACGCTCTCTTCTCCTCCTCTAAACGCTCTCTTCTGTTCCTCTAACGCTCTTCTGTTCTCTCTAACGCTCTCTCTTCTCCTCCTCTAACGCTCTTCTGCTCCTCTAACGCTCTCTCTTCTCTCCTCTAACGCTCTCTTCTCTAACGTCTCCTCTAACGCTCTCTTCTGTTCCTCTAACGCTCTCTTCTCCTCCTCTAACGCTCTTCTCCTCCTCTAACGCTCTTCTGCTCCTCTAACGCTCTCTTCTCCTCCTCTAACGCTCTTCTGTTCCTCTAACGCTCTCTTCTGTTCCTCTAACGCTCTTCTGCTCCTCTAACGCTCTCTTCTGTTCCTCTAACGCTCTTCTGCTCCTCTAACGCTCTCTTCTGCTCCTCTAACGCTCTCTCTCTCTCCTCTAACGCTCTCTCTCTCTGTTCCTTCTAACGCTCTCTTCCTCCTCTAACGCTAACGCTCTCTCTTCTGTTCCTCTAACGCTCTCTTCTCCTCCTCTAACGCTCTCTTCTGTTCCTCTAACGCTCTCTTCTCCTCCTCTAACGCTCTTCTGTTCCTCTAACGCTCTCTTCTCCTCCTCTAACGCTCTCTTCTGTTCCTCTAACGCTCTCTTCTGCTCCTCTAACGCTCTCTTCTCCTCCTCTAACGCTCTCTTCTGTTCCTCTAACGCTCTCTCCTCTAACGCTCTTCTCCTCTAACGCTCTCTTCTGCTCCTCTAACGCTCTTCTGTTCCTCTAACGCTCTCTTCTCCTCCTCTAACGCTCTCTTCTGTTCCTCTAACGCTCTCTTCTCCTCCTCTAACGCTCTCTTCTGTTCCTCTAACGCTCTCTTCTCCTCCTCTAACGCTCTCTTCTGTTCCTCTAACGCTCTTTTCTCCTCTAACGCTCTTCTGTTCCTCTAACGCTCTCTTCTCCTCCTCTAACGCTCTCTTCTGTTCCTCTAACGCTCTCTTCTCCTCCTCTAACGCTCTCTTCTGTTCCTCTAACGCTCTCTTCTGTTCCTCTAACGCTCTCTTCTGTTCCTCTAACGCTCTCTTCTGTTCCTCTAACGCTCTCTTCTCCTCCTCTAACGCTCTCTTCTCCTCTAACGCTCTTCTGCTCCTCTAACGCTCTTCTGTTCCTCTAACGCTCTCTTCTCCTCCTCTAACGCTCTTCTGTTCCTCTAACGCTCTCTTCTCCTCCTCTAACGCTCTCTTCTCCTCCTCTAACGCTCTCTTCTCCTCTAACGCTCTCTTCTGTTCCTCTAACGCTCTCTTCTGTTCCTCTAACGCTCTCTTCTCCTCCTCTAACGCTCTCTTCTCCTCTAACGCTCTTCTGTTCCTCTAACGCTCTCTTCTGTTCCTCTAACGCTCTTCTGTTCCTCTAACGCTCTCTTCTGCTCCTCTAACGCTCTCTTCTCTCCTCTAACGCTCTCTTCTCTCCTCTAACGCTCTCTTCTCCTCTCTTCTAACGCTCTCTCTTCCTCTAACGCTCTCTTCTCCTCCTCTAACGCTCTCTTCTGCTCCTCTAACGCTCTCTTCTGTTCCTCTAACGCTCTCTTCTGCTCCTCTAACGCTCTCTTCTCCTCCTCTAACGCTCTCTTCTCCTCCTCTAACGCTCTCTTCTCCTCCTCTAACGCTCTCTTCTGTTCCTCTAACGCTCTCTTCTGTTCCTCTAACGCTCTCTTCTGCTCCTCTGCTCCATCTCACTCTTTTAAATTCTCTTTTGTTTTTCTTCCAGGTTGGAGCGAGAGTTGGTTGTGTTGGAGTCAGAAGGAGGACCCACCATTACACCGGCCCCTGTGGTGAGTCAAATCCACTTTGTTAAATTTAAAATTTTGTGTTTTGCAAACTTTTAAAACAGCAACAGAATTGGATTATATACTCCCAAACTCTGCTCCTCCAGCCACCATCCATCACTCACCCACAGTATGTTTATTGAGGTGAGGTGGAACAACAAACCTTCTGATAAACAGGTGACTTCTTAACCTCCAGAGCCACTGTTAACCTCCTCTTCACTATTGATAAAAGCTGTAATAATAAATACAATGAGTAATCACATGATAGAAAGGTCCACACATTTCACTGGGACTCACAACAGTGCAATAGTTGTTGCTATAAAGAGGAGACATTATGTAAAATTGACTTTTTGGAGCTTTTTACTGTGTCATGACACTGTTCCCTCATCAAACACATGCCTGATGAGGTTTTAGATGTCATCCATGCATGTTTGAGTCATCTAGCAATCTCTCCTGGGTCCTTTTCAAACCCTCCTTACTATTAGCTGTAAGATTCCGTGCAAAGCTCCGCCCACAAGCCTCTGTCCCCCATGCTCCACACGACCATTCTCCATCAATAAGAGGTGGGGACTTGCATGTCGTGACTTGGACTTGAGTCAGACTTGAGTCACTATTTTGAAATGTTCCACAGTATGACATTAAACAGCTCTATGTTACATTTATTCAATTACAGGTGGTTTGTGTACAATTAGTACACAAAGTAATTCAATGTGAAGGGAGAGTGGAGAGCACAGGAAACTGAAGCTGATTGAACATGTTAATTGCTTGTAATTCATATTCATTTTCAAAACAATAAAAGTGAACATGGTGAACTAAATATGTGTAACGTGTTACTGAGAGTACTAACCCAGTGTCTCTTGTCCACAGGTGAAGACGGAGCTAATCCAAGGTAATTGTCTGTTCTGTGTGTGTCCCTGTGCTGTATGTCTCACGTCCTCATATTGTCCACACGTCTTTGTCCTCTTTGTCTTAGTGGTAGATGTGGCCCCAGTCAAACCTGAGCCCCTCGTCTCCACTGTCCCAGGTGAGGCTCCTGTTATTAAGGCTCTCAGACGACTCATGATCCACGCTCTTCTCCAGTATATTTAAACCTTGTAACTATTCATTAAAGAGTGTGTAGACTTGCAGGTTGTATTTAAAGGTGCACATTGCTTTGTCTAGAACAGTGTTTCCCAAACTTTTTTTCTGGGGATCCATAAATTAAAAGTCACAAACCTTGACCAAAGTCAATAGACATTATTTATAAATCACAAAATAAAGGTGGATTTGAGCTTTATTGAACATTAATGAGGATATTTTATTGTTGACCGAGTGATCGTGTCTCTGAACTATTAGTATGACTCAAGTTTTAAACAATGAAAAACTGTCATTGAAACAGCAATAAAAGGATACAGAAGTCGACTATTTGGACATTAAATGTTGCCCCTTTCGTTTTCTTTTCAACATTCAACTGAACCAGCAATACTGGAACAAAATAGTCAATAAAATAATTATAAAAGAAATGATACAAAACATGGCTTAACATTTCAACATTTCTAATGAGATAGGTTGGCCTGTGTGTGATTTTGTAGCATGTATAGGTCCGGTTGCAGGAGGAGACACAGCAGCAGATCAGGAGCAGCATTTCTGTTTCTGTGTTTTGGCTTCATTTTTGTGAGCACAGAAAAAAAGCAGAGAAATACTGACCCTACTGAGGCCGGGAGATTCTGACCAAATGCTGATCCAGAATGACAATAATATATTCGCTGACTCACTAGCTCCCTCATGTGTCAGAACTGTATATTGCAGATTTACATGCAGATCGTGAATTTTATATAATATAATATATATATATATATATATATATATATATATATATATATATATATATATATATATATATATATATATATATATTCTTGTGACCCACCTCAGGATCGTGACCCAGTCTTTGGAAAACAATGTTCTAGAATGTTCCACAGTAGGGCCTAAGACAAGCCAGATATTCATAGATGTGCAAATGAAGGAGCAGCACACCTCTGCAGCATAAATATAGCCTACACTAAAGCTCCAGGAAGTTTCACTTTAACATAGCAGACCATACAACAGAGCCTCAGCGGAGCAGCTGTCTAAACTCATGTCTAATATTTCCTCTGTTTCTTACCTCATGCAGTTGAATGCCTCTCCTAGTCTGTGCCTATATAAAATCAGTCTGTGAGATTCAGTTCATGACCCTTCAGTCATAGGTCCTGGGTTTATTTTTGTTTGGATAAATTGGTTCCAGTTGAACTGGGTTCAATTGGAACCAGCCAGATCTGTGGAAAGGTGACCCTCTCACTTTCAGAATTTCAGAGTGTTTGAAAATGTTGTAACACTTGTGATTGAACGAATACAAGTTTCATAAGTTTAATGCCATACTGTGGAACCTTTGGGCAAAGTAGTAATATCTCCATGGAGGCTAGCAGTATGTCTACAGTATATCAGTCCTCTTCACTCTGTCTCGCTCTGTTCTCCTTTCCTCCTGTGCCGCCTTAGAGGTCAAAGGTCATGTAGCCCCCAGAATGGTCAAACCTGGAGAGGCCACAGCAGAGATGAGGAGAGGTGAGTGCGAGCTGCAGGGGGCGCTGTCACACTCTACTACTACTGTATATGATATAGAAGTCTCCATGGGACTGACTCCAGCTCTCCTGTGTGGGAGCAGACTGTTAAAATCAAATGGAACTGTGGGAACTGGAGTCCTCTTTAACATGTTGTCCTGTGTCTCTGTCCCTGAGTGTCTGGGGAAGTGTGAAACCTTTTACTTTATGTTTCTGCTCCATGTTTGTTTTTGGCTGTTCAAATGTACAAAATCTACATCTTTGATTTGTACATGAACATATTCATTTAGTCCATAGGCCCTCCCTCATGAGCCCGTTTGTCAGTCATCATGTCCTCGTCAGTATTATACCATCGAACATGGACAGTAATGTACGCCTGGCCCCCGTGCACTGTAAAACTGCACCCACACACGTGCACTGTAAAACTGCACCCACACACGTGCACTGTAAAACTGCACCCACACACGTGCACTGTAAAACTGCACCACACACGTGCACTGTAAAACTGCACCCACACACGTGCACTGTAAAACTGCACCCACACACGTGAACTGTAAAAGTGCACCACAAACGTGCACAGCATCACTTTAATGCATTTATTTCTCTCCAGATGACGTTTTAGTTTGCCGCTTCTTCTTGAGTGTGATTGTGGTTTTAGTTTCAGTTTCTCTGCCCCGCCTTTTCTGTAGCCTCATTATGCACCTCTCATTGGTCAAAGCCTCACTGCTCTGCCCCCTGCTGCTGTGAGTGTGTATGTGTACTTTTTGGTTGGAGTAAATGTGTGTCCCGCCCTCAGCCATGTACTCAGTGGAGATCCGGGTAGAGCGAGACAAAGTGACCGGAGAGACACGCGTCCTGTCCGCTAACCCCACCCTGCCTGTGGATCCCGGGCTGGGGGTCAAAGTGTACGAGGATGAGCGCAAAGGTGACCACTGCTGACCAATGCTGACCCCAGTGTGGACAGGTCTGCTGAGGAGCCCATTGATCATATTCCCTCAGATGAACAGAGTTTTGTGCTTTATTGATTCAGCAGAAATGTTCTTTGTTTTTCCTTTTTTCTCATAAGAGCTGGATTTGTTTTGATTCAGATGGACCATATGTGTCCCTGATTGGCTAATCCACCTGCCAATCACATCTTAAAGTATTGAAGAAATCTGGATTCTGGGTGAATTACCCAACTGCTTTAGACATCATTTTGAGGACTTTTGAGCTTTGAAAAGATAGAATATTTAGTTATCACGTCATGATAATGCGTATATATTATAATGCATATCTTTTCTTTGTGTGGCAGTGGTCCATGAGATGAACGGGGAGGATGGCGGCCATATTTTGAGTTCTTCTGAAGTGGAAGAACTTATCCATAAAGCTGACGAGGCTCATGTGAAGTCTAAAACCATCACTACTATCACTGCTATCACTGCTACTACTACTGATACTACTACTGCTGGTATTACTCCAACTGCAACTTCTACTATTACTGCTATCACTACTACTGCAGAAAAGCTCCAGGAAGTACCAGGAGAGACCAAACCAACCGATGTCAGTACAGTTTCCAGTGTGGAGATTACCGGACTGGAGGCCAAGCCAGAGAAGGAACCGAGTATCTCCGAGGCGACAGAGGACAACCCTGTCACCATGGTGTTCATGGGCTACCAAAACGTGGAGGACGAGAACGAAACCAAGAGAGTCCTGGGGCTCAAAGGGACAGTCAAAGCCGAGCTAGTGCTGATCGACGACGCCGAAGGGAAGACGTCACCGGTGGAGCAGAGAGCTGTGCAAAAGTCTGCCAAAAAAGCCGCTACTCCCACCGCGGAAGAAATCCCGAAAGAGAAAGAAATTCCAAAAGCGAAAGAAACATCTCCAGAAAAGAACGGAGAGACAGCGGCAAGCACGGAGGAGGTGAGGGCCGGAGACGCAGAGGGGCAGACCGAGAAGAAGAAGCAGCCGTGTAAGTGCTGCACCATCATGTGAACAGCAGGGGGCGCTCCAGTGAAAGGAAAAGTCCTATTTAATATTCGTAACATGGACAGAGACTTAACGAACACATGAACTAAACTCCACCCACTGCCCTCAGCATTTAACGTGGCTCCAGCAGGCAGTCAGAGAGTTAAGGTTACAGTGCTCTACCTGATCTCTAAAAACACGAACAACACAACTAGTTCATTTGAAATGTTTTGCAGTGGTCCAAATTATTCCTACTATTAGTTACTGTCACTGTACTAGCATGCTAAAGCGCACTTCCTGATGATCAGACAGTAGAATGCCTTATAATTAGATGCAGACAGTACACAGCATACTTATTTTGACCTCAATACAACGTATCTGTCCAGGTGCAAGTCACAAGCATCTTGTTTTTAATTCATTTAAATCAGCAACTTCATTTTGTGGTTTGCTGTGATCCAAAATTATTCCTTATTTCCTATCAGAGACCAGAGCAGAGTTTTCCGATGACAGTTTTAATCTGGTACAGGGCCTTTAGACTAAAGGAAATATGTTGGTAATATATGACATAGACTTCAGCTTTTACCTTCAAAATAACCATAGTACTATTCTAAGAGCACCGTATTTTTCAGAATATAAGTCACACTTTTTGGGGGAAATTTATTTTATAGAATCAGAGAGCAGGAACCAATATTTCCTGTTGAAAGTCAAGTTGTAATAATAACAATAGAAGAGAGAACAACAGACTGTTAACGTCACATATGAACAGTTCTTCAGATAAACTATAAACAGCAGAACAGAACAAGTTTACCAAACTCTCCATCTCACTCCAAATCACTAAATCCATTCAATTCTTCATCCTCGGTGTCACTTCTGAACAACTCCACGACCTCCGGAGGTAAACAGAGCGCCGCTTCCTCTTCTGTGTAATTGTCGTCAGACTCAGCATCAGTTCCAGTTAGAATTATTCTGGCTTTTCAGAATCACGACAGGAAGGTTTCAGTGTCAATGAAGTCCAGACTTTGTCCATCTATCCAGTGACTTTGAGGAAAGTTGCATGGTGCACTAGTTGCTGTGAAGCTGTGTTCTCCATCTCCGCTTTCCACCAGGCCCTCCCAAGTTTCTCACTCACTCCAAACTTTCTTTTTCGTTTCGTTTCAATTATCGTTTTCAGCTGAATATTTCACGATTTGCAGCAGGACAGAGGCTCTTTCTGTAGCAGCAGATCCTGACACACAAGACTAGATCCTCTCGTGGCTGTCAGTGTGAACATTTGAATACGTAAGTCACTTATACGTCAGGTATAAGTCACTGGAAACACCCAAACCATGAGAGAAGTGTGACTTATAGTCTGAAAAATACGGTACATGAAAAGCATTACTATAGACTGACCAGAATCAATAACTGGGACACACCTGGTTTGTGGTGGTCGGTAATAATCACATTATGAGTCGAGTGCATAATTATGGAAAACTCTTCTGCACTCAGCCCATTCATGACGAACATGAGTCAGTATAGTCACATTTTCTTTGTGTTCTGGTGTTTTTAAGCAGCTTTTCTGTATTTTACCTTAACAAATGACAGTTTATGCCTCTTTTTACTGTTGGTAGGGTCAAATTGGTCAAAAAAATAGGGACACCTGGGACATTTCTTGTATAAAACTGGGACAAATCACTGGTTTTGGATAAATCTGGTGGGACAGGGGACACGTCTGGTCACCGTAGCATAGGCTAACCTGTCGCCTGTACATAATCAGCCTGTTGTCTTCCATGCGAGCTAACCTGTGCTAGCTCACTGCCTGTTGGACATGTAGCTTTGACCTCATCCATCTCTTTTCTACGCCTTTCTTAACTTTTCTATTTTGTTTATATGAATGCACTGAGTTAGCATTAGCTTCCCTGTCATACTAAGCTAAATTGTATGTGATTTGTAAGCTAAGCCCTGTCAGTATTATATTTAGACCTCACTGGGTCTTTTAAAACCATGAATAAACATGTCAGAACATTTAGGCCTAGACCATCATATCATCACCACATACAGAACTTTTTCACAACAGCTGGAAGTGCTGCAATGTGGGTAAACGCACGGGTAAAAGTCACTTGCATTAACGCTTTTCTATGGCAAAATATCTGTGGAAATGTCTTTACCAGCAGCTTCATATATCTGCTCCATCAACAAATCTTCATCCAACAAGCTCCACAAAGGATAAACATTCTGACATGAAGAATTTATCCACAACTATCAGGAGAAGAAAGACAAAAACGTAAAGGTGAACAACGACGAGGCATTAGTGACACACTCAACAAAACTATCACCTTGGTCATGAATAAAACAGAAGTTATAAGTAATTCATTAATAAGTAACTGGTTAACTCAAACTGATTCTAGAATTAAAATAAAAAATTTATTTCATGATGAGGAAGAGAGATTCATGCAGTTTAAATGCTACAGATGATACAGACATTTTATATTTCCAGCATTTAAACTGCACAAATCTCTGTCTGTGCCAATATATCATCATGAAACCGATTTTTAATTTTAATCCTAGAATCAGCCTGAGTTTTATTCATGACCATGACGTTAGTTTTGTTGAGTAGTTCACTAATGCATCGTCGTTTGCCTTTGATGATGGGGCAGATTTATGAAGCTGGTGGAAAATACACGAGACGTTTCTACAGATATTTAGCCATAGAAAAACTTTAAAGGGATAGTTCAGGATTTTTGACATGAATCTGTATGGCATCCCCGTGAGCAGTGTCGTGCATCCACACTGACGAAAGTAGTCCGGCAAGTTGGCTGGGGACATTAAAATAAAGTGTTTTTCTTCTCAAAACAATCAGTGTTCAAAAGAGTGATACATTTGCATCACAAAACCATTGTCACCTAAAAAGTCAGACCTCATAATCACTTTGGCACTATTTTCTCTCCGTTCGTATCACTGCGCGCGGCCGCCAGGTGACAGCCGCGCCTGGTTCACTTTGTTTACTGTTCGGAATGTTAGGGTTAGGGTGTCTGATTACGACACCAACCATAAACACATTGCCTTTACCACAAAGCCAAGGGGAGATCTTTGTGAACCTGAATATACTGATGCCGAATTTCGCCAGATGGAGTTAGAACGGGCAGAGAGAGAGAGAAGAGAGACAGAAAAGTGGTACAACTGGAGCCGTGAGAGACCGAGTGAGCGACAATCACCATCACGTCATTTATAAACTCGTATACAGTGAACATAGAGCCGACACTGTGACTGAAGCATGGACGACTAATAGATACATGAATCATCCACACGTCCACGTAGCTGCTGACAATAGTGTACGCCACATTTACAATAGTAATAACAGTCGACTTATAAAGTTAGGTTTTGTAGAAGCTTCACTGGTGATATGACACTGAGTGATTTACTGCACACAGAGTTACAGCTGATTCTTGAACCTGTTCTCTTGTAAACACAGCGGCACTTCTTCGTTCTTACCTGGTTTGGTTTCCACACTGAAGCCAAAGACAAGAAGCCAAAGTTTCCTCAGCGCAAAGTCTGTGACAGGAAAACGGTGACATGTGTGTGGAGATTCAGACAGATTTTTGTTGTTACAGCCTGGAGAATCAAGAGTTTGCACCATTTTTTAGATATATTGTTATGTATCTTATACAAGCTTATATACTTATGGCTCATGCCATGTGATTATGAGGTCTGACTTTTTAGGTGACGATGGTTTTGTGATGCAAATGTATCACTCTTTTGAACACATGTTGTTTTGAGAAGAAAAACACTTTATTATACAGTCCCCAGCCAACTTGCCGGACTACTTTGGTCAGCACCAAAAACGGCCAGTATCTCTGCTCAGCGGATGCTGTCGGGAGTAAGTCAGTGTTGATGCACGACACTGCTCATGAGGATGACATACAGATTTATGTCAAAAATCTCAAACTATCCCTTTAATGTAAGTGACGTTTGCCTACATCGTGGCACTTCCGGCTGTTGTGAAAAAGCTCTATTTAGCTGCGGAGACGTTCAAAAGCCCATGTTACACTCTAAACATTAAAAGTCACTCAGATTAATATATTTATGTTTATTTGAATAGTTTTAACATAACTTTTCTGAGTATATTCAAAATGTCATGTCATGTTTTTCTCATCTATTTATTTTATTTTTGAACTCATCTACTCAAAATGTTGACTTTTACTTGACATAAAATATTTAGATGAAAAAAAAAAGACTAAAGGCTAATTAAAGATTGTTGTAAGGTGCACTGTGCAGCGCTCCGGTGGCGTCACCTGCCTGTCTCCATGGAGATATAGAGGCCCACATTTAATGCCATATTGTGGAACATTCCAGGCAAAGCAATAACATCTCAAAGCAGCTAGCGGACCAGAAAAGTTACACAGTGCACCTTTTCAAATCAGCCTTTCGTCACAGTATTATTTTAACTTATTTAGATGTTTGAAAGTTTTTGTGTCATCATTTATTAGATGAGCCCGTCCACAGTTTGAGAAGCACTGGCCTCTGAACATGGTCGTGTCCCTTTCACACAGAAACCCTCTTCACACTTTAGCTAAACTGATGGAAAGCCATTCTTTTAAAACATTTAGGTTTGTATGGTAAATTTACAGATTATATTGTGTATTTATATCGGTGAACATATTATTTGAGGGTATCTACACTACCGGTCAGAAGTTTTAAAACACCACATTTTTTCCAGTTTTTAATGTTTACTGTTGACCAAAACTTATTCTAAACTTTTGATTGATGTGTGTCCACCTTTGGCAGATAGAACAGCTGAACACACTCGCGGCTCGTTCTTTTTACAGTAGAAATCAAATATTGTTCAGAAAGTTCTTTCCAAGTCTGTTGCAGTTTCCATAAATGTGTGGCACTTGTAGGTTGCTTCACTCTTCTGTCCAGTTCATCCCAAACCAGCTCCATGGGGTTTAAGTCTGGACATGTGCTGCTGGACACTCCAGGTTTTCAAGCTTTGCCCACTTGTTCTTTTTTCCTGAGGTCGTTTTGGTAGAGCTTGGACTTGTGTTTTGTTCTTTTTTTTTTTTTTTTTTTTTAAATCTCTGTTGGTTCAGTTTTTACCTTTGTATCATTTCAAGCTCTTCATTGGACTTGCACGACTTGAATTGTAATAAATAACTGGAAAAATGAGGGTGTTCTAAAACTTTTGACTGGTAGTGTATCTTAACGAAAGAATGCATCATTTTTAATTGCCATTTCAAGTTAACAGTTAGCAGCAGTGTGTGGCAAAATGTCAGAAATGTTCGAATAGGCTTATATCTGATGGCTGCATGTTTTTATATGTTGGTACCAAATGATCAGGTTCTGTGTGTGATTAATTAGTTTTTTCATGTTAAAAACAAACCCCAGAACTAATCAATCAGTTTGTATTAAATAAGGTTAGCTAAAGGGAAGTGGGATTCCCGTGTGAAAGGGTCAGTGACACATTCAAATTGTAGTTTTGAACATATGCTAAACTAGGAAATGGTATACATTTATATGAACACATTTTTGTGTTTATAGTTCATCTTAAAGGGTCCTTATTACACTGTTTTTTGATCTCTGTTCTAATGTCGTTTCCTCATCACACACAGACCTGAAGGTGTGTTTTGTTTCATTCACACATGTTTAACACACACCTGCATATTTAGCTCAAGTTCTTCTCTCAAACAGAAAACACTATTCCACCTTGTGATGTCATGTGGTAAAAGAGGAATGGCTCCACTAGGGTTGCCAACTGTCCCCAGTTGCCCGGGACATCCCAAATTTTGGGTGAATTTGACTTGTCACTGACGGATTTGTTCCATATTTCAATCACAGCCTCAAGGGCTGTTCAGACTGCGGCATCAAAAAACACCCTGGACACTTCTATTTGGACCCCTTTGTATTTGAGTTTAGACACCCCCGATGCGCGTCTGGGATGAACAGGATAAAAATACTTGACACACGTCCAGGGCCCTGGAAACAAGAGCCATTTCCCATCTTTTCCCAGAACGATGGACCAGGCTGAGAGAGACTTTAGTGTTTTTATGACATAAAAGCATCAGTGGAGGAGATCAGCTCAAAGGCTGCGGCGTAAATATATTTATACTCTGCTAATGACACTGGTACAGTCCTGCTTTAGTCCTGCTCCAGTCCTGGTTTAGTCCTGATTCAAACCTGGTCCACTCCTGGTTTAGTCCTGCTTTGCTCCATTTCTGGTTTAGTTCTGGTTCAGTCCAGGTGGAGTCCTTATTTAGTAGTAGTCCAGTTCTGGTTCAGTCCTGGTCCAGTCCTGGCCTAGTCCTTGTCTAGTCCTTGTCTAGTCCTGGTCTAGTCCGGGTCTAGTCCGGGTCTTCACAGTCAGTATTTGGCTGAAATATTTTGGTTTATAATTAGAGCAGAGGTGGTTGACACTTTCTGAAGGATCCTTGAGGCGACTGTATAAAACAGAAACTGTTAAAGCTGTTTCAAGAAAACATGAAGTTTGAGAGAAACTTCTAAAGATCCTTTTGACTGTTACTTCCACACAATACAAACAAATACTGTAGTAATTTACCAAAATGATACTGACATGAGAAGGATTATCTTCTGGTTAATGAAACCTTGTGATTTCTGTTATTGTTGGTGAGCGCGCACGTGCACACACGTGCACGTACACACACCTGGAGAAAAAGTGTCACTCATTTGGGGTTGAGGAAATTGGCAACCTTGGCTCCATACACCTTCACTAGAATCATTTGGATAATTTTACAAATCTCAACAGAACAAAATGTAGAAGAAGCTGTTCACTTGAAAAGCTTTGGAGATGTAAACAGATTAATAATGCAGAATTACTTAAACATATGTGAATGAAACAAACACAACTCCAGCTTTGTTTTGGAGGAGGGAACAACATTATAACACGACAAAGCTCACAAGAGTCCATTTGTTTAAAATAGGAAGATATTTAACATTCTGAGCACATTTCTCTGTATTATTTTTGTCAATGTTGCCCATCCCTGCCCTGGAGCTAACAGACGACCGTCTCGCTCAGCGCTCAGTATGTGCACACATCCCAGCGTGATGCTTCCACTGCTCCTCCCACTAACACGTCTCACGTCCCACACCAGAGCATCGGTTTCTATTGCGTTTGTCTGTCAGGATCGTGTGAACTTTGATTTACCGTTTTTACTGTGAGCGTTTTCTAAAGCTGAACCCTAAATGTCGTGGTATGTGTCTGTGTAATGTACCAGTGGTTTACCCATAAGCCTTTGCTGATGTCGCCATGGAAATGAAGCCTTAACATGTAAAGGGCTAATACTGTAGATTAAAGTGTGACTAAAGAGTGTGGTGAGTGTGTGTGCTTTCATACAAATGTTATGTGTCTGGAGTTTGGGATAGGGCTGCTGTGATTTCACTGCCATTCTCAGAGGGCGCAATTCATTGTTATTTCATTTTATTTTTATTGAAAATAATGCACCAACTTAAAAATAATGTCCTTTTACGATTGTGGATTGGTGTTAAATTCTACTTCTGTGCGAATGAATCTGAGGGAACTGTTGTCTGTAAAAATATGTCTTTAGAAATAATGGTGTGGTCTTATATTAGTTCTGATATCAAGACCATTCTAAACATATTCAGGAAATGCTAATTAGTCATTTATTAACAGTATTGATACTCTGCAGCTGATGTCATCAACTTTCCCTGTAGGTGTGATGCTAACTAGAGGCCCTGCTCGTCTGAGGCTTTAGACTCTAATTTGATCTTTTTTTAAGACAATCTAACCATAAAAATCAGACTTTGTTGGAACCACAGCAGG